TTACAGGGAATCCGGATTCTGATCCTTATAGGGACCACGTAAGCCCCAGAGACCTGGTAAGCCCCAGAGACCTGGTAAGCCCCAGAGACCTGGTAAGCCCCAGGGACAACCCTGGGAACAGACGGGGGGAGGGACCGGTGCAGCCGAGCATTGGTAGGCGGTGGACGAGCCCCCGGGATGGGCCTGGGCCTCAAGGGCTGAACCTTCCGGAGAATCCAGATTCTGATTCTTACAGGGACCACGTAAGCCCCAGAGACCAGATAAGTCCGAAAGACCGTGTGAGCCCCAGAGACTTGGTTAACCCCACGGACCGTGTGAGTCCCAGAGACCATAGGAGCCCCAGAGACTTGATAAGCCCCGGAGAGTGTACTAGTCATAAGGTGAAATCCAGCCCGAGAGAGCACAAGAGCAGAAAAGAGTTGCCGAGTCCGAGGGAGCATGCTAGCAGGAAAGATCTGCCAAGCCAAACGGAGCATCGGAGCAGAAAAGAGGTGCCCAGCAGCCCTAGAGAGCATACGAGCAGAAAGATTGAGCTGCCAAGTCCGAGAGAACGTGCCAGCAGCAAAAAGGATCTGCCCAGTCCCAGAGATTCAAGGAGCTTGACTGCCAGTCTGGCTGATGCACCTGCACCAGGTGTACCTGCACCAGACGTACCTGCACCAGATGTGATGTCCATTGACCCGAAGGCACCGGCCCAGGTGGTGCTGAGGGTGCTGCAGGGGACAAGAGAGGAGCAGGGGAAGGCGGCCGGGGTGATTGGGTGGTTCTGCGCGTCCTCTGCTGCTAACAGAGCGGCTTTTAGAGAGGCGGGTGCTGTAGAGGCGCTGCTGCAGCTGGCTGCTGCTTGTGGGGATGACAGACTTGGCAGTCCACGTGGCAGTCCACATGGCAGTCCACGTGGCAGTCCACGTGGTGGGTCACATGCAGCCATGGATGCGCTCTTGAAGCTGTCAGCTGATGTGGAGAGTAAGGAGCGGCTGCTGCTCCATCTTCCTCTGCTCGTTCAGGTGAGCTTCGGCGGGTGAGCTTCAAGCGAATGGTGGTGGGTCACATGCAGCCATGGATGCGCTCCTGAGGCTGTCAGCTGATGCGGAGAGCCAGGAGCGGCTGCTGCTCCATCTTCCTCTGCTCGTTCAGGTGAGCTTCACAGGAGGTCTACTACATGAGTCTCAGGTGAGCTTCAGGTGAGCTTCAAGTGAAATTCAGGTGTGATTCACGTGAGATTCTGGTGAGCCTCTGGTGAGCTTCAGGTGTGATTCGTGTGACTCAGTTGAGCCTCTTGCTAGCTTCAGGAGACTTTCAGGTGAGCTTCAGGTGAGATTCAAGTGAAATTCAAGTGTGATTCGTGTGACTCAGTTGAGCCTCTTGCTAGCTTCAGGAGAGTTTCAGGTGAGCTTCTGATGAACTTAAGGTGAGCCCATCAGGCACTCAGCAGCATCATCAGCGCCATGGCCTCGCTCTCCCCATCTCAAGTTCTCAACCCACCCTGTCTGCCCCCCACCTCCATGAGAATTCTCAAAAGTGATTTCAATATAGCATCATTAGCGCCATGGCCTCGCACTCCCCATCTCAACCCACCCTGTCTGCCCCCCACCTCCATGTCTGCCCCTCATTCTCACCTCCCTTTCTGCCGTCCCATGCACTCCCCCTCTAACATTGTCTGAAGCTTTCCTCCCCCTCTAACAGCACAGGCTAGACTCAGCAGCAGCATCAGCACCACTGCCTCGCTCTCCCTATCTCACCCCTCCCTGTATATCCCCCCCTTTCTCACCTCCCTTTCCGCCCTCCCTCCCACGCACCCTGCCTCCCCCAGTGCCTGAAGCGCTCCTCCTCATCACCAGCAGCACAGGCCAGAATCAGCAGCATCGTCAGCGCAACGGCCTCGCTCTCCCCGCATGCCCGCTCTTCCACCCTCTCATGCAACACCCTTGTTGCCCTCCCGTGCACCTCCCTTCCCCCAGTGCCTGAAGAGCTCCTCCCCCTCTTCAACTTCCCAGGCCGAACTCAGCAGCATCGTCAGCGCCACTGCCTCGCTCTCCCCGCACGCCCGCTCTTCCACCCTCTCATGCAACACCCTTTTTGCCCTCCCGTGCACCTCCCTTCCCCCAGTGCCTGAAGAGCTCCTCCCCCTCTTCAACTTCCCAGGCCAAACTCAGCAGCATCGTCAGCGCCACTGCCTCGCTCTCCCCGCACGCCCGCTCTTCCACCCTCTCATGCAACACCCTTTTTGCCCTCCCGTGCACCTCCCTTCCCCCAGTGCCTGAAGAGCTCCTCCCCCTCTTCAACTGCCCAGGCCAAATTCAGCAGCATCGTCAGCGCCACGGCCTCGCTCTCCCCGCACGCGCGCTCGCTGCTCGTGCAAGCAGGGGCGCTCAAACCCCTCCTTAAACAGCTGGCTAAAGGAGCGAGCAGATGGGCCAGGGACAAGGAGAAAGGCCTCAGCGGAGAGAAAGCAGGAGAGGGAGAGACAGGCACGGGAAGTGGTTCGGGAAGAGAGGTTCGGATGGCGAGGCAAGCGGCAGCCGAGGCTGTGGCGAACCTCTCGCTCTCCCACTCCTGCTGCTCCTTCCTCCTCTCTCACGACTCCATCCCCATCCTCACCCTCACTCTCGAAGCAGCCCTCGATTCTTCCGACTGGGGTACCACTCTCCCTCTCTGCTCCACGCTCGCTGCTCTAGCAGCTTTCTCCCAGGACAGTCCTGCAGAAGAAGCGGCCAGGGCGAGGGAGAGCGTAGGAGAGGCGATTCCAAGCCTGGTGCATGTGCTGACAGCCTTTGCCTCCTATGCCTCGAATGCTGCTTCAGTGTCGAAGGGGGGGGGAGGTGAGGTTAGGCGGAGTGAGGAGGCGGTGAGGGCGGTGCTGCAGGCGCTGGTGGTGATGGCGGGGTGTGGCGCGGAGCACAGGCGCAGCATGAGGAGCTGTGGAGCCGTGTGTGCTCTCAGGGAGGTGGTGCGGTTTGCACCGACAGATGTGCAGGGAATGGTGAGTGCTGTGGGGTGGGCTAGTGCAGGGTAGGTGGGTGCTGGAGCAGGCGGGTGCAGGGGCAGGTGAGTGCTGGAGGCGTATGGAGCGGGACGGGAGAGGGGAGGGGAGAGGCAGTGAGGGCGGTGCTGCGGGCGTTGGTGGTGATGGCGGGGTGTGGCGCGGAGCACAGGAGGAGTATGAGGAGCAGCGGGGCCGTGTGTGCTCTCAGGGAGGTGGTGCGGTTTGCACCGACAGACGTGCAGGGGATGGTGAGTGCTGTGGGGGAGGAGGGGTAGCGCAGGTGAGGCGCCTCATAAGCAGCAGCATGAGGAGCAGCGGGGCTATGTGTTTGCTGAGGGAGGTGGTGCGGTCCGCTCCGACAGATGTGCAGGAGCAGGTGGGTGCTGGTGGCGGGGGTTGGGGGTCGGTTGTTGGGTGGGTGAGTGGGTTATTAGTGGCGGGGTGTGGCGCGGAGCACAGGCGCAGCATGAAGAGCAGCGGGGCCGTGTGTGCTCTGAGGGAGGTGGTGCGGTTTGCACCGACAGATGTGCAGGGGATGGTGAGTGTTGTGGGGGAGGAGGGGTAGCGCAGGTGAGGCGCCTCATGAGCAGCAGCATGAGGAGCTGTGGAGCCGTGTGTGCTCTGAGGGAGGTGGTGCGGTTCGCACCAAGAGACGCGCAGGGGATGGTGAGTGCTGGAGGAGGGGGGGAGGGGAGGTTGTGAATGTGAGTGAGTTTCTGAGATATCTTAACAGCATGAGGATCTTTGGAGCCATGTGTGCTCTGAGGGAGGTGGTGCGGTTTGCACCGACAGACGTGCAGGGGATGGTGAGTGCTGTGATGAATTGTTGAGTGCTGCGCAGGTGAGTGAGTCGCTCTCCCGCCCCACACCTGCCTCTGCCCTACGGCAGAGTGAGTCACTTATGGCGGGGTGTGGGGAAAAACAGACGTGCAGAGGCAGGTGGGTGCTGGGCGGGTGACTGCTGGGGCAGGTGAGTGGTGGGGCAGGTGAGTGGTGGGGCAGGTGAGTGGTGGGGCAGGTGAGTGGTGGGGCAGGTGACTGGTGGGGCAGGTGACTGGTGGGGAGGTGAGTGGTGGGGATTAGTGGTGGGGATGGTGAGTGTCTGTGAAGTGAACCACCCTCACCTCCCACTCACTCCTGCACTCACATCCACTCACACATGCACTAACACTTGCACTCACACAAGCACTCACACACGCACTCACACATGCACTCACAGCTGATCAGGGGGACCCATGGTCATATGCATGTGTATCCAACTGTTCATATAGACATAATTTTTGCTGTTTATGTAGGCGTGCATCTAACTCTGCATGGTCTTATTTCCGTGCCCCTCCGTGCCCCTCCATGCCCATCCGTGCCCATCCGTGCCCATTCGTGCCCATCCATGCCCATCCATGCCCCTCCATGCCCCTCCGTGCCCCTCCGTGCCCCTCCGTGCCCCTTGTTCCTGCAGGCTATGGACCTCCTGCGCGCATTCTTCATATAATCCTGTTATAAGTCGACTCAACATGATTCTTCATGTAATCCTTATGTTCGTACGGTAATCAGTTTTAGAATACAATTAATCTGCATCTCACATTTGAGGCCCTGCTCTGCATAGGATGTCATTGGCATGGTCATCAAAGTTGCAGCCCCCACCCACCTACACGCTAGCGCACCGACCAACGCTTATGGCCGATGGGTTTCTTATGTGGACAGGATCTGATCTGATCTCATTCATGGCTCATTCAGAGGGCTGCCCGCCCACCTACCTTTCCTCTCCCCTCTTTCCCAACCAATACATCAAGTGATACCTTTGCCCCAGCCAAGCCAAGTTGATTGTGAAACCCCTTGATGTGTGGTATGGCCGATGTAAGAGGAGTGGGAGGAGAGAGCATACCGCTTCTTTAAAAATAATGGTTGCAAAGCCAAAACATTCAATAATACCCGTACGACAAGCAAGAATAATAAGGGAAAGTAGAATACATAAGGGCAGCAAAACAAGTGAAGTGCAGCAGTGGTAGCTAGGCAGCTACATCATGTGAGTAGCCCAAGCTATCACCCCTACTGCTGCTCCTCCCACGATGGCAAGAGGAGGAGAAATCTGCACACACACACACACACACACACACACACACACACACACACACACACACACACACACGCACGCACGCACACGCACACGCACACGAACACACACGCACACACACGCACACACACACACACACACACACACACAAACAACAGTGCAGAGACCATACATGCCATGATTAGCAAGCTGTAAAGTAACATATGGCAGAGGTGGCCTTCCACCATGAAGACTGGGCGAGCAGCAGGTAGGAAGTCTCTTTTAGCAAAAGAAAGGCAGTAGTATCCGAACATGCCGATGCCATGGGGAAGGGGCTGACTTTCACCGCCTTGAGACCCAGAGTTCCGCGGGGCTGACTTTAGAGTTGACGGAAAAATGATTGACTTGTGAGTCGACTTCACAATGAGAGGGGCGGCGGAGGGTGCGTACCTTGAGGAAGCTAGTGCTGGCGTATCCAAACATGCCAATGCACAGCGACGCCATGGGGAAGGGGCTGACTTTCACCGCCTTGAGACCCAGAGAGAACGCAGATGCCCAGATGAGACCAATCTGGAAAGGGTTGGAAGGGGGGAAAAGGGGAAGGAGGGGGAGGGGGGCTTGAGAGTGATGCTTTGGGGAAGGGGGTAACTTTGTACGGCTTGAGGCCAAGAGAGAATGCAGATGCCCAGATGAGACCGATCTGGAATGGGTTGGGAGGGAGGGTAAGAAACGACAGCAAAGGTAACGCCTTGAGAGGGACAACATGGGGACGGGGCTGACTTTGACCGCTTTGAGACCCAGAGAGAATGCCGATGCCCAGATGAGACCGATCTGGAAAGGGATGGGAGGGAGGGTAAGAAACGACAGCAAAGAGAACGCCTTGAGAGGGACATCATGGGGAAGGGGCTGACTTTGATAGCTTTGAGACCCAGAGAGCACGCAGATGCCCAGATGAGACCGATCTGGAGAGTGTGGGAGGGAGGGGAAATGAGAATGGGTGGGGCCTTGAGGGCAATGCAATGGGGAAAGGGGTAACTTTGTACGGCTTGAGGCCAAGGGAGAATGCAGATGCCCATATGAGACCAATCGGGAAAGGGTTGGAAGGACGGGAAAGGGGGAGGGGGAGTCTTGGGGGGGGGGAGGGGTGTGGAGGGGGGAGGGTAAGAAAAGACAGCAAAGGAGCCGGGAGAGCAATGCAGTGGGGACACTCCTTTGGTTTGATTGAATAAGAGTTGCAATGCATGATTGCAACACTTACTCCTGTGGCGTTGAATCCCGGCGTTGCCCGCTTGTACCTGCAGCAACATTAGACGGACACGGAGTGGGGAGAAGAGTGGTAATGAAAACAGGTTCATGGAATCGGGTGCATGAAATCGGATAAAACAGGTGCGCGTTACATCTGAGGCTTTTGAGAATTCTCAAAAGGAGTACAGTTTCTATTCCCGGCGCCTCAAAATTAGTCTGCATGATGCGGGGTGCACGTTACGTTACATCCGAGGCTTGCAGTACAGTTTCCATTTCCTTTGCAAAACTGGGCGGGAAGCACACTGATCATGAGAAAGCTTTTGACGCGCCTCAAAAGTCGCGTCTCATGTGTTGTTGAGGCACCTCAAAATATGTGACTTACAGCTTCCATTTGCGGAACTGGTCCCAGAAGGGCAGGAAACCGATGATGATGAGAACACTTTTGGATCAAAAGGCTTCAACGGGCGTGGCTTACAGCTTGAGGCGTCTCGAAAGGCTGGACTTACAGCTTCCATTTGCGGAACTGGCCCCAGAAGGGCAGGATACCGATGATGATGAGAACACCCGGCGAGAAGATGGCGATCCAGCATGTGGCCAACCCCCGGATTCCACCGATCTGCACATGGGAACACGCGCATAGAAGGATGGAGGCATGGGGAGATTTTTGCGGGTAGAGAAGGATTGAGGCATGGGGTGATTGTTTCTCTTGTTATTCAAGACACCGATGATGATGAGAACACCTGGTGCGAAGACAGCGATCCGGCATGATACCAACCCCCAGATTCCACCAATCTGCATGGGATGGGAATGTGTGCGTACAACAATGGAATCCTGGGGAGCGATCTTGATTGAATAGCATCAACCCATCGGGCTCACCACAGAGCCCGGGCTCACCACAGAGCCATCGGGCTCACCACAGAGCCGGCTCACCACAGGACCAAGGTAGGCGGAGAAGTTGAAGAGCGGGCCAGGAATGGCCTGTGAGAGGAACACACTAACCTAAGCAAGGTGGTTTTCACTCTGCTGCCGCTGCCACTAGACACGGGTGTGGCTCGATGCACTCACCACAGAGCCAAGGTAGGCGGAGAAGTTGAAGAGCGGGCCGGGAATGGCATGTGAGAGGAACAAAGTAACCTATGCATGTGGCTTTGAGCCTTTACTAAGCTGCTGCCACGTATGGACACCATGGCTCTGATCTGGGGCTCGATGGGCTCACCACAGAACCAAGGTAGGCGGAGAAGTTGAAGAGCGGGCCAGGAATGGCCTGTGAGAGGAACAAAGTAACCTACGCATGTGGTTTTCACTCTGCTGCCGCTGCCGCTAGACACGGGTGTGGCTCGATGCACTCACCACAGAACCAAGGTAGGCGGAGAAGTTGAAGAGCGGGCCGGGAATGGCATGTGGTTTTGAGCCTTTACTAAGCTGCTGCCACGTATTGACACCATGCCTCTGACCTGGGGCTCGATGGGCTCACCACAGAACCAAGGTAGGCAGAGAAGTTGAAGAGCGGGCCGGGAATGGCCTGTGAGAGGGCGAGACCGGCGAGAAACTGCTGCGTGGTGATCATGGTGGTGTTGGCATCCACTTCAAAGCACTGCCACGAGGGAAGAAGGAGAGGGAGGGAAGGGGGGGGAGGGAAGGGGAGGGAGGGGGGGGGGGGAGGGGGGGGAGGGGGCGGGGTGGGTGGGTTGGATGCAAGTGTTGAGTATACTGGAATCTTTATTAAGAGTTATCGAAAGCGAATCCAGTGTAGCTGGCAAGGAGCTGCTGTGTGGTGAGCATGGTGGTGTTGGCATACACTTTAGCACACTGGCCTGGGGGGTGGAGGAAGCAGAAAAGAACGGGTGGACACACGTGTTGAGTAGGATTGCGCACTTGTTGCACCAGGTGCATGCATTACACAGTGGTGCATGCATTACACAGTGGTGCATGCATTACACAGTGGTGCATGCATTACACAGGGGTGCATGCATTACACAGTGGTGCATGCATTACACAGTGGTGCATGCATTACACAGTGGTGCATGCATTACACAGTGGTGCATGCATTACACAGGGGTGCATGCATTACACAGTGGTGCATGCATTACACAGGGGTGCATGCACCACACCGGGATGCAAGGATGTTGGAGTTATGCTGCGTAGAGGCAAGGATACCACAGGCACGGAGAAAAGGTGCAAGCAAAAGCAGAAAGGACATGTCCCCGATTCATCTTCACACGCTAATACACAGGTGAGCGATAGCACGTTGAGATGACCCCATGCAGCAGCCTTTTGGAGCTCACCTTTCCCCCACCAGCAGGGTTTTTGAGGCGCCTCCGGCCCAGCTCCGGCACCTCTTCCAAGCCATGAGTTACGACGACCCCATGCAGCAGCCTTTTGGAGCTCACCTTTCCCCCACCAGCAGGGCACACAGTGTCATGCTCAATCACGATGCTCTCACACTCATCATTCCCTCCCCTTCTCACCTTCCCATTTTCCTCTCACAATCACCATCCCAGATCCCTCTCACCTTGCCCACACCAGCAGGGCACACAGTGTCATGTCATGCTCGATCACAATGCTCTCCAGCAGAGGCAGCATCACCTACCCTGCTCCACATGCCTCTCCAAACCACCCCCACCGCTCTCAACCCATCTATATCTCACCTTGCCCCCACCAGCAGGGCACACAGTGTCATGTCATGCTCGATCACAATGCTCTCCAGCAGAGGCAGCATCACCTACCCTGCTCCACATGCCTCTCCAAACCACCCCCACCGCTCTCAACCCATCTATATCTCACCTTGCCCCCACCAGCAGGGCACACAGTGTCATGTCATGCTCGATCACAATGCTCTCCAGCAGCGGCAGCATCACCTACCCTGCTCCACATGCCTCTCCAAACCACCCCCACCCCTCTCAACCCATCTATATCTCACCTTGCCCCCACCAGCAGGGCACACAGTGTCATGCTCGATCACTATGCTCTCCAGCAGAGGCAGCATCACGGGGCCTCCGCCGTACGTCACTGACCCAGTCATGTAGAATCCCTGCAGTAACGTGAGACGGGGCGGAGAGAGAATCAAGGTGTGAGGGATTTGGGGCCATATGGAACTGAATTGAGCACCACAAGAAAGGGGGTATGGAGGAAGAGAATGTTAGGCATATGGGGATATGGAATTGAGCATCACGGGTCCTCCGCAGTACGTCACTGCACACACACACACACACGCACACACACACACACACACACACGCACACACACACACACACACACACGCACACACACACACACACACACACACGCACACACACACACACACACATACCTCGAACGGGTGCATCCACTGCGAGCCTGAGTTGGTGATGGCCTTACTGGAGATAATGGCAAAGATAAGCACGGCGATCCAACCCCTCTCTTTGGGTGACACTTTTGATTCCACACTACCAGCACACACACACACACACACACACACACACACACACACACACACACACACACACACACGTGCGTGCGTGCATATATACGCACACACGCACCTCGAACAGGTGCATCCACTGCGAGCCTGTGGCTTTGTTGTAGATAATGGCAAAGATAAGCACAGCGATCCACGCAAACAGCAGCATCCCGCCGCCCAGCGGCGACACGCCCAGCTTCTGAATGTTGCTGCGTTGCGGCGGAATGGGCTTGTTGCGCTCCGTGAAATAGGTGACCGCACCGCCTGGATGGGAGGAGAGGAGGGGGGAGAGGGAAGGAAAGGCAACAGAGAAGGGAGGGTTGGAGTGAGTTGGGAAGAAATAAGAGTATGTGGCTTGGAGATCTAGGTAAGAAGGCCTCACCACGCCGCCTTAGGAAGGATGAGGGGTATACCGTTGTCATGCATGGTCTCGCATGTTACAAGCACGCGCTTGCACGTGGCGAGCACGACCTTTCAGGCGCCTCAAAACTAGACATGCATGGTATCGCATGTTACAAGCACGCGCTTGCACGTGGCGAGCGCGACCTAGCACGTGGCATGATGATGGAGGCGACACAAAGAGTACCCACAAGATGATGTTTACTATGCGCATGTAGAACACACACACACACACACACACACACACACACACACACACACACACACACACACACACACACAAAAACACACACACACACACAAACTCACACACACAACTCACCGAGGAGAATGACAGTGGGGAAGATCCACTGGGAGGTGTAGTAGAAGGTTATGGCAGCAGAGGTGACGCAGAGCACACGTGCAATGACTTGTGAATTGACAGGAAATTCACCAAACTCGGTTCGTTTCTTACCAAGAAGGATGACGGTGGGGAAGATCCACTGGGTGGTGTAGTAGAATGTGATTGCAGCAGAGGTGACGCAGAGCACACGTGTGACTCTGTTGAGGCACATCTTGCTCCCCAGCATCACTGCCGCATCTGCTATTAGCGCCACCGCCACCGCTGTCGCCCCGGCGGAGATAGCAGAGAGCCACGCCGGTGGATCCACCAGGAACTGGGAACAAAGAGGTGGTGGGAGAAGAAGTGGGGGGGTGGGGGGGGGTGGGGGGGGGGGGGGGGGGTTGTAGACTAGAAGAAAAAGAGAGCAGAAAGCAGCTTGCCATGGGGATGGATCCACCAGGAAGTGGCTGTGCTGACCTCTGTAGTGCAAAGCCAGCTGAGCTCATGATGAGACTCCTAGGAGTTGGACGAGCGAGCCACTGCTTCTAATCTTGCACTGATGATGAGCGAGTGAGCGAGCTACTGGTCTGCTGGCTGCCGTCTCACCTTGGCGACGCCAAAGCCAGCGACGCTCATGATGAGTGCTCCAGGCAGTTGGAAGAGGATCCAGGAGAGGAAGCCCTGAGAGGAGCCCAGCTGATGGTGTGTCGGAGCATGTGGCATGCGGCATGTGGCATGTGACATGTGCGCGTCCCCCTCACTCACCTTGGCGACGCCAAAGCCAGCGACGCTCATGATGAGCGCGCCGGGCAGCTGGAAGAGGATCCAGGAGAGGAAGCCGCCAGTGATGGTGTGTTGGAGAGTAGTCAGCCTCTCTCCACTCTCCGCCTCTCTCCACCTCTCTCACTCACCTTGGCCACGCCAAAGCCAGCGACGCTCATGATGAGCGCGCCGGGCAGCTGGAAGAGGATCCAGGAGAGGAAGCCGCCAGTGATGGTGTGTTGGAGAGTAGTCAGCCTCTCTCCACTCTCCGCCTCTCTCCACCTCTCTCACTCACCTTGGCCACGCCAAAGCCAGCGACGCTCATGATGAGCGCGCCGGGCAGCTGGAAGAGGATCCAGGAGAGGAAGCCGCCAGTGATGGTGTGTTGGAGAGTAGTCAGCCTCTCTCCACTCTCCGCCTCTCTCCACCTCTCTCACTCACCTTGGCCACGCCAAAGCCAGCGACGCTCATGATGAGCGCGCCGGGCAGCTGGAAGAGGATCCAGGAGAGGAAGCCGCCAGTGATGGTGTGTTGGAGAGTAGTCAGCCTCTCTCCACTCTCCGCCTCTCTCCACCTCTCTCACTCACCTTGGCCACGCCAAAGCCAGCGACGCTCATGATGAGCGCGCCAGGCAGCTGGAAGAGGATCCAGGAGAGGAAGCCGCCAGTGATGGTGTGTTGGAGAGTAGTCAGCCTCTCTCCACTCTCCGCCTCTCTCCACCTCTCTCTCTCACCTTGGCCACGCCAAAGCCAGCGACGCTCATGATGAGCGCGCCAGGCAGCTGGAAGAGGATCCAGGAGAGGAAGCCTCCAGTGATGCCCTTCTGCATGATGCCGATGGCGAGCGACATTTGCGTGCTTGATGGACCCGGCACTGTCTGAGTGAGCGCTAATAATTCCGCAAACATGTCCTCTGACATCCACCTGAGGAGAGGAGAGGAGGGGAGGGGAAAAGGGGGAGGGTATATGAGATGAGGAGATGAGGAGTTGAGGGGGTGAGAAGAGGAAGGGATGAGGAAATGACGGGAGGGAGGATGGACGCAACGCAACCAGTACGAGGCGCAACCTGTGCCTGCTGGATGGGGAAGGGTGGAATGGACTGGGAGGAGTGGAATCGACGCACCTCTTCAGCTCCACTCATTCCTTCAGTTCCACTCACCCGCGCAGCTCCACGAACTGCTTGTGGTACATGGCGATATGGGCGGCGGCACCACCGAACGACGTCCATCCGAGGAAGAAGAAGGTGACGAAGAGATCCCAGTAGCTTCCACGCCGTAGCTGCGGAATGACGATGAGAGAGTAGGCAGAGTTGAGGGTTTGGTAAAAAAGCCAAAACACACACACAACACACACACACACACACACACACACACACACACACACAGAAAAAACAAAGAAACAAACAAAACGAGTAAAGGAAAAAACACACACACACACAATGGGCGAGGGGGAAGGGGAGGACGGGGCGCAGGAGGAGAGAGAAAAGGGCAGGGGGTAGTGGAAGGGGGAGCAGCGACAAAGGGGGGAGGGGAAGGGGAAAGGGGGAGGGGAAGGGGAAAGGGGGAGGGAGGGGCTGACCTTGGGAGGGTCTTCAACAATTACTTCGGTTTTCAATGCAGATTCATCTGCTGCCGCACCATCCTTGCTTCCATCGTCCTCGTCATCACCCGCCTCCTTCTTGGACTCAGCCCTTTCCAGGCTCAATACAGCAGCAGAATCAACAGCAAAAGCAGTAGTAGCAGTGGTAGCGGAAGCAGTTGCAGCAGGCTCCTCGGGACTGGTCCTGGTCTGCAGATCAAGGAAAGTCCAAGAAAAACGAATAAGATGCAGATCTATCATGTGATGGCAGGTTGATGTATGAAAGCAAGACCTTCACATGGAAAAGGCAGTTGAGTATGAAGAGAGCGCAAGTGAGGCGGTCACAACATGATGCTATGGAAGACAGGCCACTGGTTTTCCTCTCCTCTGCATTCCCCGTCCTCACATTCTCAACACACACACACACACACACACACACACACACACACACACACACACACACACACACACACACACAATCAAGGCACTTCTACACAACTGAGGACCCCTTCCGCCGTTTCCTCACCTTTCTAAGAAATGCAGGCAGCATTCCATCAGCTATCCGCCGGCAAGCAGCAAGCAGTCCAGGCTTCTTGTCGCTGCCGTCTCCATTCTCATGCGTGGCATCACCAACACCCTTGGCATAAGTGTCACCAGAGGCACCAGAGGCCGCCTCTAGAGCACCAGAGCTCGGCTTGGCATCTTCTTCCTCCATCATTCCATCGTCATCAAAAGAACCAATACTACTAGTACTACCATTGGTGCTGGTGGTGCGGAAAAGAGTGCTACCAATGGTAGTGGTAGAAATTCTACTAGTCATGGAATGGCGGGTGCTTCTGCTAGCAGCAGCATTCAGCTGGTACTCCTCTTCGTCGGGTTGATCTGAGGTTGGGTGTTGGTTCTCGTGTTCATGTTGACTCAAGACCAGGTCTTCTTCCCCTGCCGTTGATGCGGCGTCACATTGACTTGGTAGGGATGGAGCTTCTTCGTCTCGTGCTGCCGCCTCCCTCGACTGAGTTGGCATCGCCGGCGCTCCGTCATCATGGCTGCCGTCCTGTGGAGTCACAACAACAACACCCTGGCACAGGGCGGACAAAAGGTGTTGAGACGTCAGTAAGGTGTTGAAGGAAAGGGGGAAGGGAATGTAGAAGGGTGAGGAGGGAAAGGAGAAGGAAAGGGAGCGAACGTAGAAGGAAAGGGGTGCTATACTCTGTTGAACTTTGGTGAAATCTAGAGGCCAGATCATCTGGTCGTTTGGTGCACATATCATCAAGGGGCCTTAGTAGGCAGAAGTTGCTGAACAAGATACCACATATGCTGCTAGTAATCATCTCACCCGATCCGCGGCAGGCGCAGATCCTGGCGCCATAGCATGTAGTACTATAAAAGGTATCAAGCTCTGAAACTGCACAAAGCGAAGTACTCAAGGAGGGAAGTGCTGGTACTACTAGATCAGGAGAACTGTTAAGTAGTATACAGCTGCCACTGCCAGGCCTCCCAGGACGGAGCCATTGAGGGTTGCTTGTCTACGCGGATAACCAGGCATCCCCACTGCGCCGCATGGTGCCGTGCTGGCAGCCGCAGCAACATTCCAGTCGGAAAACGACGACTGTTGTTGGCCGGGGACGGTTGATGGAAGATCACTGCCGTCCCATGCTGCCGACCATACGTGTCAGTATTCCGTACTGTTTGCCACGAGGGCAAAAAGTCGCACTGTTAGCTCAACTAATCTCGTGCTTTTCCCCGTTTTTTAGGACCACCGCACTGCTCTACAAGAAATGAGAGCACCCAGCATACTGAAAGGGGCAACATTGCCTTCCTTGTTATCCGGGATAACAACTCCTACTACGAGGCCACTGGATAACAACATTCCAGTCGGAAAACGACGAGCGGCATCGGTCAGCATGGTTTGTCTGTACAGGATTACGTGGACGCTGAGGAGCACCGCTGGCAGCGTTGACGTTCTAGTGCAAGGCACACTGAAACAAGAGCTTCTACACAAACGCCCACGACAAAACACTTCAGATCTGACCGCGAATAAGTTGCCCGAATTTCCCATACAAAAACACGCGGAAGTACTGGTCTAAATGGGTAAGATGGGGATTCTTATGGGGAAGTGGAAGAGGAGCAGAACGCAAGATGCGTCACAAAAAAATTGAGCTCGCTTCCCCAGTGGGGAAGGGGAGAGGAAGAGGAGCAGAATGCACGATGGGGAGAGTGGGCATCACGCGCACAAGAAATGTGCACTGGATCACTGCGGCCCTACTATGCTGCCGACCACGTGTATGTCTTCTGTTTAGGGCAAAGTCGCACTGTTACTTCAAACTCGTGTTTTGAGCACCACGTGAAAGGTGAGGGATATCCACACTGAGCGAGCCAGCAAAAAAAACTCACCTGTCACCTAAAAAAACCTGGTTCGGTTTGGAGGTTCGTGGCACTTTGACTGTGAGCATAGTCAAAGTGCTGCGCGAACCGTATTGAACGGGGTGTGTCACATCGCCGAACACAGAACTTCGGCCAAAATCCGTCGGGCCGTTTTGGCAAGAGTACCCCTTTGCAACCCTAAGTACCAACCTGTCTCGTACCCAAACCCCTACGTACCGTGATGGCCGAAAATCCGGCCATTAGAGAATTTCGCATGCGTACGGCGATGTGACACGCCCTAATATCAATTGAGTACGTACATGGCGCAGGACATCGGACATTCGAACGGGACTGTTCGACCGGTCACCGTACTCAAACAAGCTGTAATTTTTCTAAACGAACTGTACCCGATTAACCTCCGAAAAATGTTCGTTCGAACTATGTTCCCCGCAAGGATCGCGCCTGATGTGTACTGTACTGCACATCACCGAAACCCGTTCCCGCCGCATATGCACCGAAAGAATATGTATCTTTCCTGTCTGTTCCGCAACCTGTGCTTCTTTCGAAGACTGTCATGCATTCTATTATAAAGAAAGAGAAACACAAAGCACAGTTGTTGAAGCAGAACTACGCAGGAAAGGTAAGCGGGGACAGAAAGAGAAATTCGTGATTTATGCTTTATTGAAGAATGGAATGTATATAGATCGTAATCATTAACAAGGCTACACGGAGCGAATATGCTTTATTGAAGAAACCCTTCCAGCATCAACGGTGGGGCTATTGACAGGGCTCACCTCTGAGACGCGATGGAATGAACTGAAATCACTCATTCCTCACATGGATCGCGTCCAAACATGCTAGTAACCCTTAGCAATTTTTCACCCACGGCGTCATAATCTAGAGAGGAAAAAAACAAATGCGCCCGGAAGCATCTGAGAAGGAGGAGTTGTACCCAGAAAAACAAAATATACTGTATTGTGTCGTGGAAAACCAGGCATGTATTGTATACGCTCAAAAGACAAAACCAGACTTCACCGTTCTGTTCGGTGGCCTTGTTCTGCGGGTGTACAGTACACGGAGTGGGATCTGACGTGGCGAAGAAATATCGGCGTCTGCGAGCCAACACTCTTGGAAAAAGGGGCACGCAAAAATGGCTGCTTGATGACTGCGGTGGACTTTGTCTGTGCTGAGTTGTCAACACCTGTATTGATTTTGAATTTGTTTGGGGCAGAGGGGTGCGTTGACTACAGTATGATGGCATTCAGAGTGTCGGTTTTTAATTACCTGTCTGTTTCTCCCAGTACCCTCTTATTTGTGGCCTTTCCGCTTTTGACCCCCTCGCTTTGCAACTCCCAGCATTCCATTATCCTTTTAACTGCTCCGCGGCCCCTGATTAACTCATGAACTTCAGCTTTCACTCACAAGCCTTCCCACCCACGTCCACCCTCCACCATCCAACTGCCGAGCGGAGGGCAGCAGCAGCTGCAGAGCGGAGGGCACCAGCTGCCGAGCGGAGGGCAGCAGCAGCTGCAGAGCGGAGGGCAGCAGCAGCTGCAGAGCGGAGGGCAGCAGCAGCTGCAGAGCGGAGGGCAGCAGCAGCTGCAGAGCGGAGGGCAGCAGCAGCTGCCGAGCGGAGGGCAGCGGGAGCTGCAGAGCGGAGGGCAGCAGCAGCTGCAGAGCGGAGGGCAGCAGCAGCTGCAGAGCGGAGGGCAGCAGCAGCTGCAGAGCGGAGGGCAGCAGCAGCTGCAGAGCGGAGGGCAGCAGGAGCTGCAGAGCGGAGGGCAACGGCAATTGCAGAGCGAAGGGCAGCAGCAGTTGCAGAGCGGAGGGCAGCAGCAGCTGCAGTGCGGAGGGATGGAGCTTGCAAGGCCGTTAGAGGGGGGCATGGAGACGGAGTCTAGCAGGAGGGTCTTGCCGGCGTGTTCGAGTGGAGAGGAGCACCCAGACCCTACATTGACACCCCCGCCCCGCATTCCGTGCGAAACCTGTTATCGCACGTTCACGGAGAGAGGAAAGGCCACACGCCATATGTCGGCCTGCAGGGCAGCGGACGCCCAGCGTCGTGCTCAGGCGCTTGGGTTGACCCGCGACGTCATAGATGACTCGGACGGCGAACCCCCGCCACCACGTGATATCAGTGAAGAGGTATGGGCCGCAGTTCCTACATGGGACTGGGAGTCGTTTTTTGGGATCGAATTGGTGCCAGGGAGAATCATGCGTCGTATCCCACAGCGCGCTAGATTGGGGGTGCTTGATGCACTGTCTTGTGTCCTGAAGCGGCTACAGTTAAAGGCAGCAGACGAGGCGGCGTCCTTGGTCTTTTTGGCCTTCCCTCGTCTTATCTTGGGGATGCCAACTGGGCAAGGCCAGGGGCATAGGGCGGCAATCAGGGAGCGGTTGGAGAAGTTTTGGGTCGGGGAGTGGCGGGAGCTGTTTGAGTTGGCGGTGGCGGTAATGCAACCTGCGGCGCGTCCTTTGTCCTTCACCCCCCCCGAGCATGATCCTGATGCAGTGCACCTGGCTCGCTGCCGCACAAGGTGCAAAGTGGGAGAATGGAGTCGGGGTTTGGCGTGTCTTACTGCCGGTAGCATCGCTCAGCCCTCTCAGCACATGGTGGACGCGCTGCGAGCGAAACACCCATCGAGCGAGACCGCCATTCCGGAGTGGTTGCAGGAGGAGATAGTTGAGCCTTCCCTTATCCCGCAGCTCTCAGTGGAGGTACTTGGTCAGGCGATCCACTCTGCGGCTAGGGCGTCGGCACCAGGACCGTCGGGGTGGGTGACGGAGCACCTGCGCGACACTTTTCTCTCTGAGCCCGCATACCTGCCTCACCTGCTAGGAGTCTTCACCCAGTGGACCAAGGGAGAGGTAGCGGAGCGCGTGCGACCCTGGCTCACTGCGTCCAACCTTGTGGGCCTGTCGAAGCCGAATGGTGACGTTCGCCCGGTGGCTATAGGCGAGGTGCTCCCCCGCATACTATCTCGGGCCCTATGCATCGTGCTTCGGCCGAAGATGATGTCGCACTTTGCGCCGTGTAACCAGCTAGGAGTCGGATCCAGGTCGGGAGTGGAAGTCCTCGCACATGCCTTTCGTTCTGCCATCTCTACTCACCCGTCATGGTGCGCGCTTCAAATTGATGTGGCGAATGCTTTCAACTCCTTCCATCGGCGGGAAATGTTTGAAGGACTTCGACAGTCGCCTTTTGCGGGTTTGATCCCATTCCTGCGTGTCTTCTACGGCACTCCTAGCGACCTCTACCTCCGTGCGGGCCCCTTCGTCGAAGCTTTGGCTTCAGAGCGAGGATCGAGGCAAGGGGACCCATTGGGGCCGTTTCTGTTCGCGTTCACACAGCAGCTGGTTATGGAGCCCACCAAACAAGAATTCGCCGACCTACTCTTTCTCAGCTACGCCGATGATACGTACATCTTGGGGCCTAGGGAGCGGGTGCTAGCAGCTTATGAGGTCTTGCGGGAACGACTGGGCGGGCTTGGTCTGGAGGTGCAGCCGCATAAGTGCAAGCTTTGGGAGCGAGGGGTGGACCAGGAGGGAGAGGAGAGGAACGAGACCGTCCCGCCCGGCATGCAGCAAACATGGACGGGGCTCACCGTAGTGGGGGTTCCTATTGGGGAGGAGGAGTGGGAGGTGGCCAGCTTGCGAGGCCGGCTGATGCAGCTGCATGCACCTGTCCCTTGGCTTGCTTTGCTCGACCACCCACAGATTGCGTCCCATCTGCTGGCGATCGCAGTGTCAACGCGCCCGATTTACCTCACAAGGACGATGCCTCCACGGCCTGAGGTTGTGGAGGCTTTCCGCGACTGGGACACGAAGCTTGAGGATTGTTTTGAGCAGCTGTTTCCAGATAGCACCTGGGATCATGATTCGGCAAGGTCGCAGATGGCCCGTCTACAGCTGCACCTTCCAGCCAGACTTGGAGGGTTTGGCATTCGATCTGCAGCTGACCTTAGCCCTCTGTCGTACGCATGTGGTTGGTGCCAGGCAGTGAGCGATGTGGCTCGGATGGGGGTGGCAGGGGAGGAACGGATGTTTGAGGAGTTTTTCCGCACGCCCGAGGCTACGACCTTGCTGGATCCTTGGTTTGCGAGAGCAGTGGAGCTGCTGCCACAGTCGGTCAGGCAGGAGATGCCACCCCTAGCCTTATGCACCGCTGACCCCCCTGTGCTGCTTTTCCCCACACAACACCGTCGCCTAGCGGTTGAGAGTCTGCAGACTCTTCGGGGTATGGCCCACGACGACGCCACCATGGCCCGTTTGACATCCCTTCAGGGCCCGGGGGCAGGGGCGTGGGTCTCCGCCGTCCCTTCGCACGAAGAGGCTACCTTCACCGCAGCCGAGTGGAGCATCTGTGCGTCCATGCGCCTAGGCCTCCCCATACAGCAGCTGATAGTCGCCGGCAAGTGCGCGTGTGGGTTTGAGTTTGCTGATCCCTCTGACCCGCATCATGCCCTTCGCTGCAAGTACCAGTACGCACCTTCTCGTGTTCACGACGCGGTTAAGTTTGTGGTGGCGAAGATAGCTAAAGGGGCGGGTGGGGTCGTGACCATGGAAGACGACACGTTGCTGCCAGGGAAGAGGGTGGATGTGGCGGTGCGGAGACTGAGGGAGGGGGAGGAGCATGCGCTGGAGGTTAGTGTGGTGGACCCTATCTCGTTGTCCGCGCAGCACCATGGACAGATTGGTCGCAAGGTGGGTTTTGCCGCTAGAGAGAGGGAAAAGCGGAAGGCGGCGGACTACAAATTGCTTCTGCAGCGACATAGGGGAGTGCAGTTTACACCTCTCATTGCTGAGACATGGGGTTGCCTGGGGGGGAGTTTTGGGCGGTGGCTTAAGAAACAGGGCGACGCGCAGATTGAGGTAGCGAAGACGAAAGGGGCGGCGAGAGCTACGGGGAAAGGTTTCTCGGCTTACTTGCTTGGATCACTTAAAGCGGCCATAGGTGTGGCTTTGCAGCGGGCTCAGGCGCGTGTGATCTTGTTGCGCGCGGCGTCGATGATGAGAGGCCCAGAGGCTGTTTCGGTGGAGCGGGAGGATTTTGAGGAGGAGATGGGATGGGATGCTCCGTGGGCGGATGCGCCCTATTTGGTGGACATGCGGGTTTAGAGGGTGGGTTTAGGTGAGGGGGGTGGGGGGTTTGGTTAGATGGGGCGTATTGTTGGGGTGTCTCGTTGGGGTGTCTCGTTGGGGGTATCTCGTTGGGGTGTCTTTTGGGGTTCCTTATGTGCTGTTCTACTGGGGTGTTCTTGAGGCTGCGTTTTCCGTTACAAAAAAAAAAAAAAAAAAAAAAAAAAAATCCAACTACTCCTCTCCCGCAATTTTCTACGGCTACAAATGCTACGCCCCCTCGAAATAATGCCACAAAACGATCGAGTTTCAAACGCAAGCAATTACTTATTGGAACCAGCACATTCAGGGTTCGTTGTTTGCGAGCCCTTTGATATTCAGGGATGACTATATGTCGGAAATTATAAAAACTGCTTGGATAAGAAAGCCGACCACACGACAGAGGGTGAAGCAGTGTTCTGTCGTCCCTTTTACTGTGTGGAAGAGTGGAGGAGATTCGTGCGCTGTTCGGACGTGACATTCATGTGATACTGTTGGTGAATGTTGTTCAACCCCTAAAAACTGCAAATGTTGCCCACGGTCGCGTTCACTGCTCAGGTGATTGTTGGTCCAACAATCAGGGGCACTGACAGCTTTTGGGAGGATATTTTCGTTCACTCTGTTTCCCGCCATAAGAAACCGCATAAACACGCCACGCCACTGTTCTTTCTAAGTACATTCTGCAACCCGATACAAAGCGCCGCGGTCACACGATACTGCTCTATGGCCTACACCTATCCCGAAGTGGCCCAGTCAAGTAGATGGGACTTCCGAAGGATAAGGTCCTGGGATCGAACCCACCCCCGTGCAGGCGTATTCTTCCAGCCCCTCAAGAAGGGGGTTCGCACGTGCTTATCTGGGAAAGGGATAGTTCAATTGATTACGATCAATATATAACTTTAACTTCTATGGCATACACCTAGTTCCCAAACAATCAATACCTCTACTTCGTAGGTACCCTATACGTTTTCTGCCTTGAAGCGATAAACACCAAGAAATTGAGATATTATCAATCGACAGCCAAATGGGGTGGTCTCTCTGAGACTTGCACACTTCACGTTGCGATTGAAGGGAGGATTCGCCCCTAATATGCTTGTTGCTTACGTTCAATTCTCGAGAGGGGTGCGGGTATCCCCCACAAGAACTTTGATAAGTACCCTACAAAAACGTTTGACCAAGGGAGTACCCCAGGGTATGCAGATATGGGGTGTGATTTTTTCAGAAACTATGCTTATTGTGATGTTTGCCTAATCCGCCTTACTTAGCCGCCAGGCAATCCGTCACTCAATCTAATCAATCATTGCATCCTTAGCCAGCGGTGTGCTCTGCTGTGCTTCAGCTCCTTCATCCTCTCCTTCTCAACGCATCAACCATCACACTAATGGCATCTACAAATGCACCCGTAGCCATCAATCAATCACTCCAAACAATCAATATAGCCCGATATCTTAGCCCGAGGAGCGCTCTGCTTCAGCTCCTTCATCCTCTCCTTCTCTCGCCGCCTCGCCAGCTCCTCAGGGCTCAGCTTCGCTTCTTCTGCTTTCCTCTGCCATCAGGCAATCCATCACTCAAAATCAATCAATGCATTCTTGAAATCTTAGCCCGCGGAGCGCTCTGCTTTAGCTCCTTCATCCTCTCCTTCTCTCGCCGCCTCGCCAATTCCTCTGGGCTCAGCTTCGCTTCTTCCGCCTTCTTTCGCTCCTCCTTCCGCCGCTGCAACTCCTCCTGCCTCTTCTCCTTCGTCTCCCTCAGTGCCGCCTCCGCTGCCTTTGCCCGCAGTGCCTCTGCCTTGCACTTCGCCTGAAAGGCGAACAGAATGACCGGGAAGGAATGGGCGGGAGGGGGGGGGGGGGAAAGAAGGGGAACGGCGGGGAAGGGGGAGGGTGGTGGGGACGGGGGGTGGGAGATGGAGGGAAGGGAAGGGGGGAGAGAGTCTTGGTGAATGAGAGAAGCAAAAATACTCCTAATTCTTCTCCTCTGCCTTCCTCCGCTCCTCCTCCCGCCGCTGTTGAAATGGAAGGCACGCGTCACCTGGGCGCTGAGTCAGAATTTCCCTACGGGTTCTATTAGAAAGGGCACCGACACCCATCAGCTCCGCCAGCTAAGCAGCGTGTTAAGGCGGCAATGACAGAGCAATCACAGAATACACATGGTACTGTGCTTGAAGGGGCTAGAGGAAAAGAAAAAACAGCCCACCTGGGCGCTGAGTCGAAATTTCCCCACAACTTTTGAGACGTCTCAAATTTTCCCACGGTGTCAATGACGAATGGCACAGAAGGCATCAGCTGAGCCAGGTCAGCCACTCATGATGGCAATCATCAATACGAGTAGAGACTGGTCACAGGGGAATGGGGTTAGGGGCCACAGAAAGCAGCGCCGCACCTGAGCACCGAGACAAAATTTCCCCGCAGCCAAAGAATAATGGCACAGACACCATCAGCTTCGCCACCTTACCAGCAGTGAGGAGCGAGCGGTCCCAGGGCAATGTGCTTACCTAGGTGTGCTGTAAGGCCGAGAGGAAGAAACATCTCACCTGGGCGCTGAGTCGGAACTTCCCCACAGCGTCAATGAAGAACGGCACGGACGCCATCAGCTTCGCCGGCTCGGCCACGCACAATGGCAATGAGTGACGAGAGACTCTCGTCCGGTAGTGACGAGAGCGTACTCCCTTGGGGAGTGTAGTGTAGTTAATTAGACTAGAGTGGAAGAAATGGCTCACCTGGACGCTGAGTCAGAACTTCCCCGCGGTGTCAATGAAGAACGGCACGGACGCCATCAGCTTCGCCAGCTCCGCAGCATCCCCCCCGGGGAGGAGGAAGGAGAGAGAGTGGTTACAGGGGAGTGCGGTTGGGGGCTAGAGTAAAAGCATGCTCACCTGCGCGCTGAGTCGGAACTTCCCCACCGCGTCGATGAAGAACGGCACGGACGCCATCAGCTTCGCCAGCTCGGCGGCGCCCCCCCGGGGGAGGAGGAAGGAGAAGCGCAGCACCTTGCGGTGCGCGCCTGCGCCTGTGGGTTGCTGGTCCGTGAAGTGCAGCGCGCGGAATAGAGGCGCGATCTTTGGAAAGGACTTCTCACCAAAGAGCTGGGGGGGGAGAGGAGTACCGGGGGGGCAGGAGAAGGCGGGAGGGGGATAGGTAAGAAGCTGCGCGCCTGCGCCTGTGGGTTGCTGGTCTGTGAAGTGTAGAGCGCGGAAGAGAGGCGCTATCTTTGGGTAAGACTTCTCGCCAAAGAGCTGAGGGGGCGAGGGGAGTATGGGGGTGCGCAGGGCGGATACGAGAGAGCGAGGGGGGGAACGGGGGAGGGGAGGGGAGGGTGTGGGAGGGAGGGGAGTGGGGAGGAAGAACATGGGAGGGATGGGTATGACAGAAAGTGGGCTGTAAGAGTAAAGGGGAAATAATAGCTGGGGGGAAGGAGAATGAGGCGAGGGAGGAGAAATGGGTAATCTTTGGGCGTGTGGTTGATGTGTGTGTCATGGGAAGAAATGGTGAAACTGAACACGAGAAGTTTTGAGTCGACTTAAAACATATTCGGGCGTGCGGTTGATGTGTGTGTCATGGGAAGAAATGGTGAAAATGATGAAGGGAGGGGGGGATGGGGGGGAAGGAAAGGGCAGAAGCGAAGGGCGGAAGGGAAGGGCGGAAGGGAAGGGCGGAAGGGAAGGGCGGAAGGGAAGGGCGGAAGGGAAGGCTGAAAGAGGCAAACGGGGGGGAAGGGGGAAGCGCAGGAAAGAGGAAATGCAAAAGAGTGGCGCAATCTTGGGAGAATGGAGTGTGAAAGTGATAACGAGCAGGGGAGAACGGGGTATGTGGGGGGGGGTGGGGGAGGGAGAGGGGGGGTGCGGAGTGTGTTGGGAAGGGGAAAAGGAGGATATAAACAAGGAGGAACAGAGATTGCTGGAATGAGATGAACAGGAAACGGAGTAAAGTTTTGTGTCGCACACTCGCATCGTACCTGATCAATGATGACGTCAGACAGAAGCTCATACGCTGCTTCTCTGCTATCCCCGATAATAGCCAACTCGTCTGCCGCCCACTTGTTCTTCCCGCTCCCGCCTCCTCCCTTCAGGACCACTTCCGCGTCAAGCATGCTCGCAAACTCCTTAAGATCCGCGTTTTCTTTTATAAACGCCTTAGCGGATTTGCGCGGGACTATAGCGAGTACAAACGGGGCCATGTCTTCCTCGTTCATGTACACATCCACGTCGACTTGATCTTTCTTTGACGAAAGGAGCGCGTCCCATGCGAGCGTCGCGAGATCGTGGCGACTTCGCAGGTTCAGGGTAACCAGCATCGCTTCGCAGAACCTTCGCCCGCTCGCGTACAGCTTGAACGTCGCCTGGCCTTCTTTGACGAGGATCGGTTCGCTGGTGTCGCCCGTGCCGATCAAAGCGAAGTTCTTCGCGAGCAGGTTACCCTCCGTCGCGAACTGATTCGCGAAAGAAAGCGCAATCTTTTCGTTCTGCCATTTCCCAACGAAATAGTTGATCGCGAAAATCACGAGGAACGCAAGAAAAATCCCTTCCGCAATGAAGTCCCGCGGGTGAAACGGCTTCCGCGGAACCGAAATTCTCCGCGCGCGTGCCTTCTGCTGCGCTTGCGCCTGCTGCTGCGCGGATCCAGGCTTGCCAAAAAATGACTTTCCCCCCGCCGCTGCTCCTCCAGCACCAGCGCCGAATTCACCAGCACCAGCGCCAGCACCGGGCGTCACCCCTTCAAACTCCTCGTCATCCCAATCCGCCCCTTGTCCTGTCGATCTACCCCCGCTGCCCCCAGCGGAATCTGGTCCGTCGCGTGCGGTGGTGTCCGTTGATTTGGGATCTCGATCAGATCCAGCCGTTGCTTTTGTGCCCTGATCCGGCTCGAGCGTGACGGATCGCGTCGGAGGGCGCTGCGGGGCGACGAATTCCGTCTCCTCCTCGTCAGCCGCGTCGTCAAACTCGTCCTCGTCAAATCCCTCAAGCTGTTTTGCGGAAGCAATGGCGCGCTGCCACGTGGCGGTTGCTAGGAACGCCACAAGAAGCAGCGGGATCCACGGTATCCTGGTTTGCTTGGTTCTTACGGATCGACATAATACCCCAGCCATCGGATTGAATTACGGACCCAGGAGGAACAAAAGGAGCCGTCGATTCTGAAAGTGGACGGATCTGCACTCGCAAACGCTCAGTAGCTTTCACTTGTTTCGATCAGTGATGTAGATCTATAACCCAATACGCCTACTGGTGACTTCGAGTTGACCGTGAAGGCACACTCCACGCAAGAGGGAAGATCGAGCACGTGTTTACAGAATGCGGATCTACGACGGCTCTAACGCGAGCCGATTCACAAAAGCACAGGAACAAACCAAAAGGCCAAGAAACGTAATCAGAAGAAGCTTGCCAGGAGACAGCAAGCAGCGTGATTGATCTACGGAGAGGCGGAACGGAGACAAGCAAGCAAATCTCGATTTTGGTTCCGAGACGAGTGCATTTTCACGGGACCCAGGGAATTGACGGCCTCGCAGAACAGTTTCTGACATAGTAAAACTTGCCTGGGAACATTTTCAGCTACTGAGCATACGACCTCGAGGTGAACCCGACTCCTTGCATTGGGAATCTGAACACTTGAAGAGACCTCGAGGTGACACAAAGCTCATCCCAGAGTTCCGTGTTCCAGATTTACACGCCATACACGTATGCGCCCTCTGCTAAAATTTCCCAAAATGTTCCTGTACTGTGAAGACTTTTCTTCTCTAACAGGAAATGCTACACAAGAAAGATGGATGGAATGGTCACATAGATTTAGTATAAGCTGAAACTATTTATTGCAAGGAGACGTAAACATCCACAATCATGTGACATACGGTACATGAAAGCATGTATGCAAGGAAAACAAACAAACAAAACAAGGGGAAGAGCTGTCCAAGCTAATGCATGCCAGTGGCCCATGCTACCACTCCTAGCGCTCCCCCACCTACGATGGCAAGCGGAGCAGGGATCTGTAATCACATCAAACGCCAAGCACAAACACAGCAGCAGGTAACAGGTGTGATGAAATCCAGAACGGATAGCTGGCGGTTGTCGAGTGATTATCACGATGTTACAGAATGAGATGCCACCCACAGAAAAAGAAGGCTCTTCTTAAAAGTGTAACTACTTCAAAACTAATAACAGCAACTTACACATGATTTACTGTTAAGAAAGACTGAGCAGAGTAACTGTAACGCATCAACGTACCTTGAGGAAATTGGTAGCTGCGTAACCAATCATGGCAATGCAGAGTGACGCCATGGGGAAGGGGCTGACTTTGTACACCTTGAGGCCCAGGGAGAACACTGACGCCCAGATGAGACCAATCTGAATAGGGTGAACACACAAAACGCTCAGATGAACCATTGGCAAGTTGTTGACATGAGCGCATAAGTCATATTTGAGATGGGGGCAGAACCATGCAATATTAACCGGATACAACAATGCACACAGCATAAGCACACTTACTGCGGTTGAGTTAAAGCCCGGTGTCGCACGCTTGTACCTGCGATGTCATAAGGAAAATAGGCAGTAAATTGTTATTGATTTTCAACTACTAAAAAATAACTGGACATGACATGAACTGGAGACGAAGAAGAAAGAAAGAAAGAAAAATGTAAATCATCTCCTCTTACAGCTTCCACTTGCGGAACTTGCCCCAGAAGGGCAGCACCCCGTAGATGATGAGGATGCCAGGCGAGAAGAGGCCGAACCAGCACGCTATCACCCCGCCCATCCCCCCCACCTGTGCAGCGTGTGTGCATCAGCAGGGACAGGGGCAAAGGAGTGGGTAGGAAGCACAATGATGGGGGAGGGTGGGCATTAGAAGGGCAAGATGACCGAGCAGCACACTTGCCATGGCCCCAGCACACCCACACGGCCTACATTTCACACTCACAATGGCTCACTCATGCAACAGATGGACTCACAATGGCAGCAACACACTCGACACTCACAATGGCGCCAATGTAGGCGGAGAAGTTGAAGAGAGGACCAGGCAGGGCCTGTGCAAGAGCGAGTCCGGCGAGGAATTGCTGGGAAGTTACCCATGATGTGTTTGCTTCCACTTGAACACACTGCCATGGGTACCAATGTACCATGCACATCACATGCACACCACATGCACATCACATGCACATCACATGCACATCACATGCACATCACATGCACGTCACATGCACATCCCATGCACATCACATGCACATCCCATGCACATCACATGCACATCACATGCACATACCATGCACATCACATGCATATCACATGCACATCACATGCACAACACATGGACATCACATGCACAACACATGCATATCACATGCACATCACATGCACAACACATGGACATCACATGCATACCACATGCACATCACATGCAAACCACATGCACATCACATGCACACCACATGCACATCACATGGACATCCCATGCACATCCCATGCACATCCCATGCACATCACATGCACATCCCATGCACATCACATGCACATCACATGCACATACCATGCACATCACATGCACAACACATGCACATCACATGCACAACACATGGACATCACATGCACAACACATGCACATCACATGCACATCCCATGCACATGCACATGCACATCACATGTCACGTCACATGCACATCACATGTCACGTCACATTCACCACAGATGGACATGCATGTCACATCGTGTTGAATGTAGGAATGCATTTCGGCGACACATGCAAACGATTTGCAGCAGGACAGATGGCATGTTGATAACTGGAAGATTAGGCAAATGGTCTCATATCATAATCAATCACCACGCTTTTACCCCTCCCATCCCATCCCATATTCCCACCCCAACCAGCCTCTAACCTTCAATTCGTTGGGAAGGCAAATGGTCCCATAATCAATCACCACGCTTTTACCCCTCCCACATTCCCGCACTAGGCACTCACCTCTCCCTCCCTCTCTCATCTTCCCCCCATGGGCGGGCACACGCTTTCACGCTGCCATGCCTTGCCACTCTCACCTTCTCCCCTCTCCACGCACGCATGCCCCCACTTCCACTCCACCCCAATCAGCCTCTCACCTTCCCCCCATTGCCCGGGCACATGGTCTCACAACGTTCTCCAGCAGCAGCAACACCACCTGCCCTGTTGGCCCCCCTCCCCCCTCCCCCTCCCGATGCCTCTCCGATTCCCCCCCCACCGCACTCAACCCCTCTCTATCTCTGGCTCTCACCTTTCCACCGTTTGGAGGGCACACGGTCTCATAGTTAATCACGACGCTCTCCAGCAGCAGCAGCACCACCTGCCCCAGTGCCGCTAATGCCTCTCCAATCCCCCTCCACCGCACTCAACCCCTCACCTTGCCACCATTAGGCAGGCACACGGTCTCATAGTCAATCACGACGCTCTCCAGCAGCAGCAACACCACCTGCCCTGGTGCCCCCGCACATATACCTCTCCAACCCCCCTTCCCCCCGCCGCACTCAACCCCTCTGTATATCTCACCTTTCCTCCGTTTGGAGGGCACACGGTCGCATAGTCAATCACAACGCTCTCCAGCAGCGGCAGCACCACCTGCCCTGTTGACCCCCTCCCCTCCCCAACCTATGACTCTCCAACCGTTTCCCACCGCACTCAACCCCTTACCTTTCCTCCGTTGGGCGGGCACACTGTCTCATATTGAATCACGACGCTCTCCAGCAGTGGCAGCACCACCTGCCCTCCTCCGTACGTCACTGACCCCGTGAGATAGAATCCCTGCGGTGGAGAGAGGTGAGGGGGGGAAGGGGTGAGAGGGACGAGCGGGAGAACAAGGGAGTGACAGGCAGGCAGCACCACCTGCCCTCCTCCGTACGTCACTGACCCGGTGAGATAGAATCCCTGCAGAGGGGGGTTGTGAGGGGAGGAAGGGGTGAGTGAGAGGGAGGAGCGGGGAGGGTTGTGGCAGACAGGCAGGCAGCACCACCTGCCCTCCTCCGTACGTCACTGACCCGGTGAGATAGAATCCCTGCAGAGGAGAGAGGTGAGAGAGATAAGAAGAGAGGCGAGACAGGAAGGGATGTGAGTCAAGCAGGCAGGCAGGCAGCACCACCTGCCCTCCTCCGTACGTCACTGAACCCGTGAGGTAAAAGCCCTGCAGAGGGGGGTTGTGCAAGACATAAGAGGAGGACAGGGATGTGAGTCAGTCTTTCAGTTAGGTAGGCAGGCAGGCAGCAGGCAGGAAGCACCACCTGCCCTCCTCCGTACGTCACTGATCCCGTGAGATAGAAGCCCTGCGGTGGAGAGAGGTGGGGGGGGAGAGAAAGGAGGAGTGAGAGCACGAGGGATGTGAGTGAATCAGGCAGACAGACAGACATACAGGCAACAGGCAGGCAGCATCACCTGCCCTCCTCCGTACGTCACTGACCCCGTGAGATAGAAGCCCTGTGGTGGTGGGGTGTGAGAGAGATAAGAGGAGGGGCGAGACAGGAAGGGATGTGAGTCAGGCCCACCTCGAACCAGTGAATCCACGGTGCTTTCTCGTAGCTAGTGGCGTTCTTATACACGATGGCAAACACCAGAACGCCGATCCATGCTTCGGGCGTTCTAACCACACAAACACTACGTATGAGCAAACAACCACCCACAGTGTCACACACACACACCCACCCACCCACCTCGAACCAGTGGATCCACGGTGCTTTCTCGTAGCTGGTGGCGTTCTTATACACGATGGCAAACACCAGGATGCCGATCCACGCTTCGGGCGTTCTAAGTTCTAACCACACAAACACTACGTACTATGAGCAAACAACCAACCACCCACAGTGTCACACACACCCACCCACCCACCTCGAACCAGTGGATCCACGGCGCTTTCTCGTAGCTAGTGGCGTTCTTATACACGATGGCAAAGACCAGAATGCCGATCCACGCGAACAGCAGCATCCCGCCCACCAGAGGAGACACCCCCAGCCTCTGAATGTCGCTGCGCTGCGGCGGAATGGGCTTGTTGCGCTCCGTGAAGTAGGTCACCGCACCGCCTGGAAGAGAAGTAGGAGGGGGAAGGGTGCGCAGCATGAATAGGTGAAATCAGTGGCTGAGGAGGAGGAGGGAGGAACGGGAAGAAAGGGTTAGAGAATGTCGCTGCGCTGCGGCGAAATGGGCTTGTTGCGCTCCGTGAAGTAGGTGACCGCACCGCCTGGATGGAGAAGAGAAGAGAGGGGGTAAGGGAGAGGTATATAACGAACGCGGGCTTGTTGCGCTCCGTGAAGTAGGTGACCGCACCGCCTGGATGGAAGGGAGAAGAGGATGATCAGAGAAGGGCAGAAGGAAGCGAGGGCGGTGGGGGGGAGGTGGGGGGAAAAGAGAGGGGTGAAAGGGGTGCAAGCTCAGAAGAAAACGGTCAGGAAACCAACTGGGTGCGACAGCTAAGGGGAAGGGGATGGAGGGGGAGAGCAGCATCCCCCCCACCAGAGGCGACACGCCCAGCCTCTGAATGTCGCTGCGCTGCGGCGGAATGGGCTTGTTGCGCTCCGTGAAATTCGTCACCGCGCCGCCTGGAAGAGAAGTAGGAGGGGGAAGGGTGTGCAGCATGATCAGGTGGAATCCGCGACCGAGGGGGAGGAGGGAGGAACGGGAAGGAAGGGTTAGGACAATGTGCTTATGCACTTGGAGATATAGTAGAAGGTGACGACACAGCAGATGCCACACACAGCACATGCGCCACTGCAGATCTTCGGACATCTTCCAGTGAGCAGCGGCACCTAGCCTAAACCTAAGTGCCGCTGCTCACTGGAAGATGTCCGAAGATATAGTAGAAGGTGACGACACAGCAGATGCCACACACAGCACATGCGCCACTGCCCCACTGCTCCTATCACCGGCACCACTACCAAGCAGCATAAGCCCCAGCATACATGTCTTGGTTCACCTCGCACGTACCAAGAAGGATGACGGTGGGGAAGATCCACTGAGTGGCATAGTAGAAAGTGATGACAGCAGAGGCCACGCAGAGCACGCGAGTCACTTTGTTGCGACACATCTTCTTCCCCGGCACCACTGCCGCCTCTGTCCTTCCCTCCCGCATCGTCACTTACCTAGCAGGATGACGGTGGGGAAGATCCACTGCGTGGCGTAGTAGAATGTAATCACAGCAGATGCCACGCACAGCACACGAGTCACTTTGTTGCGACACATCTTCTTCCCCAGCACCACTGCCGCCTCCGCCACCAACGCCACTGCCACCGCTGCCAGACCAGCTGAGAGCGCGGAGAGCCAGGGCGCTGGGTCAATAAGGAACTGGGGAGGGGGAAGTTGGGGGTGAATGCAGGTACAGAAGGGTGCACAGAGGTACAGAAGGGGCACGCGTAGGGTCAATAAGGAACTGGGAGAACGGGGGGGAGTACAGATACAGAGTGGTGCGGATAGGTACAGAGGGGCGCATGTAGGGATGAGATGCGGCACATCTTCTTCCCCAGCACCACTGCTGCCTCTGCCACCAACGCCACTGCCACTGCCGCAAGCCCTGCTGAGAGCGCGGAGGCCAGAGCAAAGCCAGCAACGGCCATGATGAGCGCCCCTGCGAACTGGAAGAGCGCGACTGAGAGCAGCCTGGCCGGTTCTGAGGCGACTCACTCACTGACGGTGTGTCAGGGAAAAGCCCGCCTTGGTTTGCTCTAGAAGCCTATGGTTATTGTAATGATAAAACAAGGGTACAGCAGGGTGGTAAGTTGTTCTTTAGGAGACTAACCTACAAGAAGCCTATGTGGCACTGCCTCTTTCTCTCACCTTTGCGACACCAAAGCCGGCAATGGCCATGATGAGCGCTCCTGGGAACTGGAACAATGCGCCTGAGAGCAGCCCGCCCGTATGTCTCACCTTCTGGAGAATGGTGGGCGCCTGAGAGCAGCCCGCCCGCCATGATGATGCCCTTCTGGAGGACGTGGCTCATGCACTCAACGTGCAGTGCAGGCACATGCATGCACTCAACGTGCAGTGCAGGCACATGCATGCACTCAACGTGCAGTGCAGGCACATGCATGCACTCAACGTGCAGTGCAGGCACATGCATGCACTCAACGTGCAGTGCAGGCACATGCATGCACTCAACGTGCAGTGCAGGCACATGCATGCACTCAACGTGCAGTGCAGGCACATGCATGCACTCAACGTGCAGTGCAGGCACATGCATGCACTCAACGTGCAGTGCAGGCACATGCATGCACTCAACGTGCAGTGCAGGCACATGCATGCACTCAACGTGCAGTGCAGGCACATGCATGCACTCAACGTGCAGTGCAGGCACATGCATGCACTCAACGTGCAGTGCAGGCACATGCATGCACTCAACGTGCAGTGCAGGCACATGCATGCACTCAACGTGCAGTGCAGGCACATGCATGCACTCAACGTGCAGTGCAGGCACATGCATGCACTCAACGTGCAGTGCAGGCACATGCATGCACTCAACGTGCAGTGCAGGCACATGCATGCACTCAACGTGCAGTGCAGGCACATGCATGCACTCAACGTGCAGTGCAGGCACATGCATGCACTCAACGTGCAGTGCAGGCACATGCATGCACTCAACGTGCAGTGCAGGCACATGCATGCACTCAACGTGCAGTGCAGGCACATGCATGCACTCAACGTGCAGTGCAGGCACATGCATGCACTCAACGTGCAGTGCAGGCACATGCATGCACTCAACGTGCAGTGCAGGCACATGCATGCACTCAACGTGCAGTGCAGGCACATGCATGCACTCAACGTGCAGTGCAGGCACATGCATGCACTCAACGTGCAGTGCAGGCACATGCATGCACTCAACGTGCAGTGCAGGCACATGCATGCACTCAACGTGCAGTGCAGGCACATGCATGCACTCAACGTGCAGTGCAGGCACATGCATGCACTCAACGTGCAGTGCAGGCACATGCATGCACTCAACGTGCAGTGCAGGCACATGCATGCACTCAACGTGCAGTGCAGGCACATGCATGCACTCAACGTGCAGTGCAGGCACATGCATGCACTCAACGTGCAGTGCAGGCACATGCATGCACTCAACGTGCAGTGCAGGCACATGCATGCACTCAACGTGCAGTGCAGGCACATGCATGCACTCAACGTGCAGTGCAGGCACATGCATGCACTCAACGTGCAGTGCAGGCACATGCATGCACTCAACGTGCAGTGCAGGCACATGCATGCACTCAACGTGCAGTGCAGGCACATGCATGCACTCAACGTGCAGTGCAGGCACATGCATGCACTCAACGTGCAGTGCAGGCACATGCATGCACTCAACGTGCAGTGCAGGCACATGCATGCACTCAACGTGCAGTGCAGGCACATGCATGCACTCAACGTGCAGTGCAGGCACATGCATGCACTCAACGTGCAGTGCAGGCACATGCATGCACTCAACGTGCAGTGCAGGCACATGCATGCACTCAACGTGCAGTGCAGGCACATGCATGCACTCAACGTGCAGTGCAGGCACATGCATGCACTCAACGTGCAGTGCAGGCACATGCATGCACTCAACGTGCAGTGCAGGCACATGCATGCACTCAACGTGCAGTGCAGGCACATGCATGCACTCAACGTGCAGTGCAGGCACATGCATGCACTCAACGTGCAGTGCAGGCACATGCATGCACTCAACGTGCAGTGCAGGCACATGCATGCACTCAACGTGCAGTGCAGGCACATGCATGCACTCAACGTGCAGTGCAGGCACATGCATGCACTCAACGTGCAGTGCAGGCACATGCATGCACTCAACGTGCAGTGCAGGCACATGCATGCACTCAACGTGCAGTGCAGGCACATGCATGCACTCAACGTGCAGTGCAGGCACATGCATGCACTCAACGTGCAGTGCAGGCACATGCATGCACTCAACGTGCAGTGCAGGCACATGCATGCACTCAACGTGCAGTGCAGGCACATGCATGCACTCAACGTGCAGTGCAGGCACATGCATGCACTCAACGTGCAGTGCAGGCACATGCATGCACTCAACGTGCAGTGCAGGCACATGCATGCACTCAACGTGCAGTGCAGGCACATGCATGCACTCAACGTGCAGTGCAGGCACATGCATGCACTCAACGTGCAGTGCAGGCACATGCATGCACTCAACGTGCAGTGCAGGCACATGCATGCACTCAACGTGCAGTGCAGGCACATGCATGCACTCAACGTGCAGTGCAGGCACATGCATGCACTCAACGTGCAGTGCAGGCACATGCATGCACTCAACGTGCAGTGCAGGCACATGCATGCACTCAACGTGCAGTGCAGGCACATGCATGCACTCAACGTGCAGTGCAGGCACATGCATGCACTCAACGTGCAGTGCAGGCACATGCATGCACTCAACGTGCAGTGCAGGCACATGCATGCACTCAACGTGCAGTGCAGGCACATGCATGCACTCAACGTGCAGTGCAGGCACATGCATGCACTCAACGTGCAGTGCAGGCACATGCATGCACTCAACGTGCAGTGCAGGCACATGCATGCACTCAACGTGCAGTGCAGGCACATGCATGCACTCAACGTGCAGTGCAGGCACATGCATGCACTCAACGTGCAGTGCAGGCACATGCATGCACTCAACGTGCAGTGCAGGCACATGCATGCACTCAACGTGCAGTGCAGGCACATGCATGCACTCAACGTGCAGTGCAGGCACATGCATGCACTCAACGTGCAGTGCAGGCACATGCATGCACTCAACGTGCAGTGCAGGCACATGCATGCACTCAACGTGCAGTGCAGGCACATGCATGCACTCAACGTGCAGTGCAGGCACATGCATGCACTCAACGTGCAGTGCAGGCACATGCATGCACTCAACGTGCAGTGCAGGCACATGCATGCACTCAACGTGCAGTGCAGGCACATGCATGCACTCAACGTGCAGTGCAGGCACATGCATGCACTCAACGTGCAGTGCAGGCACATGCATGCACTCAACGTGCAGTGCAGGCACATGCATGCACTCAACGTGCAGTGCAGGCACATGCATGCACTCAACGTGCAGTGCAGGCACATGCATGCACTCAACGTGCAGTGCAGGCACATGCATGCACTCAACGTGCAGTGCAGGCACATGCATGCACTCAACGTGCAGTGCAGGCACATGCATGCACTCAACGTGCAGTGCAGGCACATGCATGCACTCAACGTGCAGTGCAGGCACATGCATGCACTCAACGTGCAGTGCAGGCACATGCATGCACTCAACGTGCAGTGCAGGCACATGCATGCACTCAACGTGCAGTGCAGGCACATGCATGCACTCAACGTGCAGTGCAGGCACATGCATGCACTCAACGTGCAGTGCAGGCACATGCATGCACTCAGCGTGCAGTGCAGGCACATGCATGCACTCAGCGTGCAGTGCAGGCACATGCATGCACTCAGCGTGCAGTGCAGGCACATGCATGCACTCAGCGTGCAGTGCAGGCACATGCATGCACTCAGCGTGCAGTGCAGGCACATGCATGCACTCAACGTGCAGTGCAGGCACATGCATGCACTCAACGTGCAGTGCAGGCACATGCATGCACTCAACGTGCAGTGCAGGCACATGCATGCACTCAACGTGCAGTGCAGGCACATGCATGCACTCAACGTGCAGTGCAGGCACATGCATGCACTCAACGTGCAGTGCAGGCACATGCATGCACTCAACGTGCAGTGCAGGCACATGCATGCACTCAACGTGCAGTGCAGGCACATGCATGCACTCAACGTGCAGTGCAGGCACATGCATGCACTCAACGTGCAGTGCAGGCACATGCATGCACTCAACGTGCAGTGCAGGCACATGCATGCACTCAACGTGCAGTGCAGGCACATGCATGCACTCAACGTGCAGTGCAGGCACATGCATGCACTCAACGTGCAGTGCAGGCACATGCATGCACTCAACGTGCAGTGCAGGCACATGCATGCACTCAACGTGCAGTGCAGGCACATGCATGCACTCAACGTGCAGTGCAGGCACATGCATGCACTCAACGTGCAGTGCAGGCACATGCATGCACTCAACGTGCAGTGCAGGCACATGCATGCACTCAACGTGCAGTGCAGGCACATGCATGCACTCAACGTGCAGTGCAGGCACATGCATGCACTCAACGTGCAGTGCAGGCACATGCATGCACTCAACGTGCAGTGCAGGCACATGCATGCACTCAACGTGCAGTGCAGGCACATGCATGCACTCAACGTGCAGTGCAGGCACATGCATGCACTCAACGTGCAGTGCAGGCACATGCATGCACTCAGCGTGCAGTGCAGGCACATGCATGCACTCAGCGTGCAGTGCAGGCACATGCATGCACTCAGCGTGCAGTGCAGGCACATGCATGCACTCAGCGTGCAGTGCAGGCACATGCATGCACTCAACGTGCAGTGCAGGCACATGCATGCACTCAACGTGCAGTGCAGGCACATGCATGCACTCAACGTGCAGTGCAGGCACATGCATGCACTCAACGTGCAGTGCAGGCACATGCATGCACTCAACGTGCAGTGCAGGCACATGCATGCACTCAACGTGCAGTGCAGGCACATGCATGCACTCAACGTGCAGTGCAGGCACATGCATGCACTCAACGTGCAGTGCAGGCACATGCATGCACTCAACGTGCAGTGCAGGCACATGCATGCACTCAACGTGCAGTGCAGGCACATGCATGCACTCAACGTGCAGTGCAGGCACATGCATGCACTCAACGTGCAGTGCAGGCACATGCATGCACTCAACGTGCAGTGCAGGCACATGCATGCACTCAACGTGCAGTGCAGGCACATGCATGCACTCAACGTGCAGTGCAGGCACATGCATGCACTCAACGTGCAGTGCAGGCACATGCATGCACTCAACGTGCAGTGCAGGCACATGCATGCACTCAACGTGCAGTGCAGGCACATGCATGCACTCAACGTGCAGTGCAGGCACATGCATGCACTCAACGTGCAGTGCAGGCACATGCATGCACTCAACGTGCAGTGCAGGCACATGCATGCACTCAACGTGCAGTGCAGGCACATGCATGCACTCAACGTGCAGTGCAGGCACATGCATGCACTCAACGTGCAGTGCAGGCACATGCATGCACTCAACGTGCAGTGCAGGCACATGCATGCACTCAACGTGCAGTGCAGGCACATGCATGCACTCAACGTGCAGTGCAGGCACATGCATGCACTCAACGTGCAGTGCAGGCACATGCATGCACTCAGCGTGCAGTGCAGGCACATGCATGCACTCAGCGTGCAGTGCAGGCACATGCATGCACTCAGCGTGCAGTGCAGGCACATGCATGCACTCAGCGTGCAGTGCAGGCACATGCATGCACTCAGCGTGCAGTGCAGGCACATGCATGCACTCAGCGTGCAGTGCAGGCACATGCATGCACTCAGCGTGCAGTGAAGGCACATGCATGCACTCAGCGTGCAGTGCAGGCACATGCATGCACTCAACGTGCAGTGCAGGCACATGCATGCACTCAACGTGCAGTGCAGGCACATGCATGCACTCAGCGTGCAGTGCAGGCACATGCATGCACTCAACGTGCAGTGCAGGCACATGCATGCACTCAACGTGCAGTGCAGGCACATGCATGCACTCAACGTGCAGTGCAGGCACATGCATGCACTCAACGTGCAGTGCAGGCACATGCATGCACTCAACGTGCAGTGCAGGCACATGCATGCACTCAACGTGCAGTGCAGGCACATGCATGCACTCAACGTGCAGTGCAGGCACATGCATGCACTCAACGTGCAGTGCAGGCACATGCATGCACTCAACGTGCAGTGCAGGCACATGCATGCACTCAACGTGCAGTGCAGGCACATGCATGCACTCAACGTGCAGTGCAGGCACATGCATGCACTCAACGTGCAGTGCAGGCACATGCATGCACTCAACGTGCAGTGCAGGCACATGCATGCACTCAACGTGCAGTGCAGGCACATGCATGCACTCAACGTGCAGTGCAGGCACATGCATGCACTCAACGTGCAGTGCAGGCACATGCATGCACTCAACGTGCAGTGCAGGCACATGCATGCACTCAACGTGCAGTGCAGGCACATGCATGCACTCAACGTGCAGTGCAGGCACATGCATGCACTCAACGTGCAGTGCAGGCACATGCATGCACTCAACGTGCAGTGCAGGCACATGCATGCACTCAACGTGCAGTGCAGGCACATGCATGCACTCAACGTGCAGTGCAGGCACATGCATGCACTCAACGTGCAGTGCAGGCACATGCATGCACTCAACGTGCAGTGCAGGCACATGCATGCACTCAACGTGCAGTGCAGGCACATGCATGCACTCAACGTGCAGTGCAGGCACATGCATGCACTCAACGTGCAGTGCAGGCACATGCATGCACTCAACGTGCAGTGCAGGCACATGCATGCACTCAACGTGCAGTGCAGGCACATGCATGCACTCAACGTGCAGTGCAGGCACATGCATGCACTCAACGTGCAGTGCAGGCACATGCATGCACTCAACGTGCAGTGCAGGCACATGCATGCACTCAACGTGCAGTGCAGGCACATGCATGCACTCAACGTGCAGTGCAGGCACATGCATGCACTCAACGTGCAGTGCAGGCACATGCATGCACTCAACGTGCAGTGCAGGCACATGCATGCACTCAACGTGCAGTGCAGGCACATGCATGCACTCAGCGTGCAGTGCAGGCACATGCATGCACTCAGCGTGCAGTGCAGGCACATGCATGCACTCAACGTGCAGTGCAGGCACATGCATGCACTCAACGTGCAGTGCAGGCACATGCATGCACTCAGCGTGCAGTGCAGGCACATGCATGCACTCAGCGTGCAGTGCAGGCACATGCATGCACTCAACGTGCAGTGCAGGCACATGCATGCACTCAACGTGCAGTGCAGGCACATGCATGCACTCAACGTGCAGTGCAGGCACATGCATGCACTCAACGTGCAGTGCAGGCACATGCATGCACTCAACGTGCAGTGCAGGCACATGCATGCACTCAACGTGCAGTGCAGGCACATGCATGCACTCAACGTGCAGTGCAGGCACATGCATGCACTCAACGTGCAGTGCAGGCACATGCATGCACTCAACGTGCAGTGCAGGCACATGCATGCACTCAACGTGCATTGCAGGCACATGCATGCACTCAACGTGCAGTGCAGGCACATGCATGCACTCAGCGTGCAGTGCAGGCACATGCATGCACTCAGCGTGCAGTGCAGGCACATGCATGCACTCAGCGTGCAGTGCAGGCACATGCATGCACTCAACGTGCAGTGCAGGCACATGCATGCACTCAACGTGCAGTGCAGGCACATGCATGCACTCAACGTGCAGTGCAGGCACATGCATGCACTCAACGTGCAGTGCAGGCCAGGCACATGCATGCACTCAACGTGCAGTGCAGGCACATGCATGCACTCAACGTGCAGTGCAGGCACATGCATGCACTCAACGTGCAGTGCAGGCACATGCATGCACTCAACGTGCAGTGCAGGCACATGCATGCACTCAACGTGCAGTGCAGGCACATGCATGCACTCAACGTGCAGTGCAGGCACATGCATGCACTCAACGTGCAGTGCAGGCACATGCATGCACTCAACGTGCAGTGCAGGCACATGCATGCACTCAACGTGCAGTGCAGGCACATGCATGCACTCAACGTGCAGTGCAGGCACATGCATGCACTCAACGTGCAGTGCAGGCACATGCATGCACTCAACGTGCAGTGCAGGCACATGCATGCACTCAACGTGCAGTGCAGGCACATGCATGCACTCAACGTGCAGTGCAGGCACATGCATGCACTCAACGTGCAGTGCAGGCACATGCATGCACTCAACGTGCAGTGCAGGCACATGCATGCACTCAACGTGCAGTGCAGGCACATGCATGCACTCAACGTGCAGTGCAGGCACATGCATGCACTCAACGTGCAGTGCAGGCACATGCATGCACTCAACGTGCAGTGCAGGCACATGCATGCACTCAACGTGCAGTGCAGGCACATGCATGCACTCAACGTGCAGTGCAGGCACATGCATGCACTCAACGTGCAGTGCAGGCACATGCATGCACTCAACGTGCAGTGCAGGCACATGCATGCACTCAACGTGCAGTGCAGGCACATGCATGCACTCAACGTGCAGTGCAGGCACATGCATGCACTCAACGTGCAGTGCAGGCACATGCATGCACTCAACGTGCAGTGCAGGCACATGCATGCACTCAACGTGCAGTGCAGGCACATGCATGCACTCAACGTGCAGTGCAGGCACATGCATGCACTCAACGTGCAGTGCAGGCACATGCATGCACTCAACGTGCAGTGCAGGCACATGCATGCACTCAACGTGCAGTGCAGGCACATGCATGCACTCAACGTGCAGTGCAGGCACATGCATGCACTCAACGTGCAGTGCAGGCACATGCATGCACTCAACGTGCAGTGCAGGCACATGCATGCACTCAACGTGCAGTGCAGGCACATGCATGCACTCAACGTGCAGTGCAGGCACATGCATGCACTCAACGTGCAGTGCAGGCACATGCATGCACTCAACGTGCAGTGCAGGCACATGCATGCACTCAACGTGCAGTGCAGGCACATGCATGCACTCAACGTGCAGTGCAGGCACATGCATGCACTCAACGTGCAGTGCAGGCACATGCATGCACTCAACGTGCAGTGCAGGCACATGCATGCACTCAGCGTGCAGTGCAGGCACATGCATGCACTCAGCGTGCAGTGCAGGCACATGCATGCACTCAACGTGCAGTGCAGGCACATGCATGCACTCAACGTGCAGTGCAGGCACATGCATGCACTCAACGTGCAGTGCAGGCACATGCATGCACTCAACGTGCAGTGCAGGCACATGCATGCACTCAACGTGCAGTGCAGGCACATGCATGCACTCAACGTGCAGTGCAGGCACATGCATGCACTCAGCGTGCAGTGCAGGCACATGCATGCACTCAGCGTGCAGTGCAGGCACATGCATGCACTCAGCGTGCAGTGCAGGCACATGCATGCACTCAGCGTGCAGTGCAGGCACATGCATGCACTCAGCGTGCAGTGCAGGCACATGCATGCACTCAGCGTGCAGTGCAGGCACATGCATGCACTCAGCGTGCAGTGCAGGCACATGCATGCACTCAGCGTGCAGTGCAGGCACATGCATGCACTCAGCGTGCAGTGCAGGCACATGCATGCACTCAGCGTGCAGTGCAGGCACATGCATGCACTCAGCGTGCAGTGCAGGCACATGCATGCACTCAGCGTGCAGTGCAGGCACATGCATGCACTCAGCGTGCAGTGCAGGCACATGCATGCACTCAGCGTGCAGTGCAGGCACATGCATGCACTCAGCGTGCAGTGCAGGCACATGCATGCACTCAGCGTGCAGTGCAGGCACATGCATGCACTCAGCGTGCAGTGCAGGCACATGCATGCACTCAGCGTGCAGTGCAGGCACATGCATGCACTCAGCGTGCAGTGCAGGCACATGCATGCACTCAGCGTGCAGTGCAGGCACATGCATGCACTCAGCGTGCAGTGCAGGCACATGCATGCACTCAGCGTGCAGTGCAGGCACATGCATGCACTCAACGTGCAGTGCAGGCACATGCATGCACTCAACGTGCAGTGCAGGCACATGCATGCACTCAACGTGCAGTGCAGGCACATGCATGCACTCAACGTGCAGTGCAGGCACATGCATGCACTCAACGTGCAGTGCAGGCACATGCATGCACTCAGCGTGCAGTACAGGCACATGCATGCACTCAGCGTGCAGTGCAGGCACATGCATGCACTCAGCGTGCAGTGCAGGCACATGCATGCACTCAGCGTGCAGTGCAGGCACATGCATGCACTCAGCGTGCAGTGCAGGCACATGCATGCACTCAGCGTGCAGTGCAGGCACATGCATGCACTCAGCGTGCAGTGCAGGCACATGCATGCACTCAGCGTGCAGTGCAGGCACATGCATGCACTCAGCGTGCAGTGCAGGCACATGCATGCACTCAGCGTGCAGTGCAGGCACATGCATGCACTCAACGTGCAGTGCAGGCACATGCATGCACTCAACGTGCAGTGCAGGCACATGCATGCACTCAACGTGCAGTGCAGGCACATGCATGCACTCAACGTGCAGTGCAGGCACATGCATGCACTCAACGTGCAGTGCAGGCACATGCATGCACTCAACGTGCAGTGCAGGCACATGCATGCACTCAACGTGCAGTGCAGGCACATGCATGCACTCAACGTGCAGTGCAGGCACATGCATGCACTCAACGTGCAGTGCAGGCACATGCATGCACTCAACGTGCAGTGCAGGCACATGCATGCACTCAACGTGCAGTGCAGGCACATGCATGCACTCAACGTGCAGTGCAGGCACATGCATGCACTCAACGTGCAGTGCAGGCACATGCATGCACTCAACGTGCAGTGCAGGCACATGCATGCACTCAACGTGCAGTGCAGGCACATGCATGCACTCAACGTGCAGTGCAGGCACATGCATGCACTCAACGTGCAGTGCAGGCACATGCATGCACTCAGCGTGCAGTGCAGGCACATGCATGCACTCAGCGTGCAGTGCAGGCACATGCATGCACTCAGCGTGCAGTGCAGGCACATGCATGCACTCAGCGTGCAGTGCAGGCACATGCATGCACTCAGCGTGCAGTGCAGGCACATGCATGCACTCAGCGTGCAGTGCAGGCACATGCATGCACTCAGCGTGCAGTGCAGGCACATGCATGCACTCAACGTGCAGTGCAGGCACATGCATGCACTCAACGTGCAGTGCAGGCACATGCATGCACTCAACGTGCAGTGCAGGCACATGCATGCACTCAGCGTGCAGTGCAGGCACATGCATGCACTCAACGTGCAGTGCAGGCACATGCATGCACTCAACGTGCAGTGCAGGCACATGCATGCACTCAACGTGCAGTGCAGGCACATGCATGCACTCAACGTGCAGTGCAGGCACATGCATGCACTCAACGTGCAGTGCAGGCACATGCATGCACTCAACGTGCAGTGCAGGCACATGCATGCACTCAACGTGCAGTGCAGGCACATGCATGCACTCAACGTGCAGTGCAGGCACATGCATGCACTCAACGTGCAGTGCAGGCACATGCATGCACTCAACGTGCAGTGCAGGCACATGCATGCACTCAACGTGCAGTGCAGGCACATGCATGCACTCAACGTGCAGTGCAGGCACATGCATGCACTCAACGTGCAGTGCAGGCACATGCATGCACTCAACGTGCAGTGCAGGCACATGCATGCACTCAACGTGCAGTGCAGGCACATGCATGCACTCAACGTGCAGTGCAGGCACATGCATGCACTCAACGTGCAGTGCAGGCACATGCATGCACTCAGCGTGCAGTGCAGGCACATGCATGCACTCAGCGTGCAGTGCAGGCACATGCATGCACTCAGCGTGCAGTGCAGGCACATGCATGCACTCAGCGTGCAGTGCAGGCACATGCATGCACTCAGCGTGCAGTGCAGGCACATGCATGCACTCAGCGTGCAGTGCAGGCACATGCATGCACTCAGCGTGCAGTGCAGGCACATGCATGCACTCAGCGTGCAGTGCAGGCACATGCATGCACTCAGCGTGCAGTGCAGGCACATGCATGCACTCAGCGTGCAGTGCAGGCACATGCATGCACTCAACGTGCAGTGCAGGCACATGCATGCACTCAACGTGCAGTGCAGGCACATGCATGCACTCAACGTGCAGTGCAGGCACATGCATGCACTCAACGTGCAGTGCAGGCACATGCATGCACTCAACGTGCAGTGCAGGCACATGCATGCACTCAACGTGCAGTGCAGGCACATGCATGCACTCAACGTGCAGTGCAGGCACATGCATGCACTCAACGTGCAGTGCAGGCACATGCATGCACTCAACGTGCAGTGCAGGCACATGCATGCACTCAACGTGCAGTGCAGGCACATGCATGCACTCAACGTGCAGTGCAGGCACATGCATGCACTCAACGTGCAGTGCAGGCACATGCATGCACTCAACGTGCAGTGCAGGCACATGCATGCACTCAACGTGCAGTGCAGGCACATGCATGCACTCAACGTGCAGTGCAGGCACATGCATGCACTCAACGTGCAGTGCAGGCACATGCATGCACTCAACGTGCAGTGCAGGCACATGCATGCACTCAACGTGCAGTGCAGGCACATGCATGCACTCAACGTGCAGTGCAGGCACATGCATGCACTCAACGTGCAGTGCAGGCACATGCATGCACTCAACGTGCAGTGCAGGCACATGCATGCACTCAACGTGCAGTGCAGGCACATGCATGCACTCAACGTGCAGTGCAGGCACATGCATGCACTCAACGTGCAGTGCAGGCACATGCATGCACTCAACGTGCAGTGCAGGCACATGCATGCACTCAACGTGCAGTGCAGGCACATGCATGCACTCAGCGTGCAGTGCAGGCACATGCATGCACTCAGCGTGCAGTGCAGGCACATGCATGCACTCAACGTGCAGTGCAGGCACATGCATGCACTCAACGTGCAGTGCAGGCACATGCATGCACTCAACGTGCAGTGCAGGCACATGCATGCACTCAACGTGCAGTGCAGGCACATGCATGCACTCAACGTGCAGTGCAGGCACATGCATGCACTCAACGTGCAGTGCAGGCACATGCATGCACTCAACGTGCAGTGCAGGCACATGCATGCACTCAACGTGCAGTGCAGGCACATGCATGCACTCAACGTGCAGTGCAGGCACATGCATGCACTCAACGTGCAGTGCAGGCACATGCATGCACTCAACGTGCAGTGCAGGCACATGCATGCACTCAACGTGCAGTGCAGGCACATGCATGCACTCAACGTGCAGTGCAGGCACATGCATGCACTCAACGTGCAGTGCAGGCACATGCATGCACTCAACGTGCAGTGCAGGCACATGCATGCACTCAGCGTGCAGTGCAGGCACATGCATGCACTCAGCGTGCAGTGCAGGCACATGCATGCACTCAACGTGCAGTGCAGGCACATGCATGCACTCAACGTGCAGTGCAGGCACATGCATGCACTCAACGTGCAGTGCAGGCACATGCATGCACTCAACGTGCAGTGCAGGCACATGCATGCACTCAACGTGCAGTGCAGGCACATGCATGCACTCAACGTGCAGTGCAGGCACATGCATGCACTCAACGTGCAGTGCAGGCACATGCATGCACTCAGCGTGCAGTGCAGGCACATGCATGCACTCAGCGTGCAGTGCAGGCACATGCATGCACTCAACGTGCAGTGCAGGCACATGCATGCACTCAGCGTGCAGTGCAGGCACATGCATGCACTCAGCGTGCAGTGCAGGCACATGCATGCACTCAGCGTGCAGTGCAGGCACATGCATGCACTCAGCGTGCAGTGCAGGCACATGCATGCACTCAGCGTGCAGTGCAGGCACATGCATGCACTCAGCGTGCAGTGCAGGCACATGCATGCACTCAGCGTGCAGTGCAGGCACATGCATGCACTCAGCGTGCAGTGCAGGCACATGCATGCACTCAGCGTGCAGTGCAGGCACATGCATGCACTCAGCGTGCAGTGCAGGCACATGCATGCACTCAGCGTGCAGTGCAGGCACATGCATGCACTCAGCGTGCAGTGCAGGCACATGCATGCACTCAACGTGCAGTGCAGGCACATGCATGCACTCAACGTGCAGTGCAGGCACATGCATGCACTCAACGTGCAGTGCAGGCACATGCATGCACTCAACGTGCAGTGCAGGCACATGCATGCACTCAACGTGCAGTGCAGGCACATGCATGCACTCAGCGTGCAGTGCAGGCACATGCATGCACTCAGCGTGCAGTGCAGGCACATGCATGCACTCAGCGTGCAGTGCAGGCACATGCATGCACTCAGCGTGCAGTGCAGGCACATGCATGCACTCAACGTGCAGTGCAGGCACATGCATGCACTCAACGTGCAGTGCAGGCACATGCATGCACTCAACGTGCAGTGCAGGCACATGCATGCACTCAACGTGCAGTGCAGGCACATGCATGCACTCAACGTGCAGTGCAGGCACATGCATGCACTCAGCGTGCAGTGCAGGCACATGCATGCACTCAGCGTGCAGTGCAGGCACATGCATGCACTCAGCGTGCAGTGCAGGCACATGCATGCACTCAGCGTGCAGTGCAGGCACATGCATGCACTCAACGTGCAGTGCAGGCACATGCATGCACTCAACGTGCAGTGCAGGCACATGCATGCACTCAACGTGCAGTGCAGGCACATGCATGCACTCAACGTGCAGTGCAGGCACATGCATGCACTCAACGTGCAGTGCAGGCACATGCATGCACTCAACGTGCAGTGCAGGCACATGCATGCACTCAACGTGCAGTGCAGGCACATGCATGCACTCAACGTGCAGTGCAGGCACATGCATGCACTCAACGTGCAGTGCAGGCACATGCATGCACTCAACGTGCAGTGCAGGCACATGCATGCACTCAACGTGCAGTGCAGGCACATGCATGCACTCAACGTGCAGTGCAGGCACATGCATGCACTCAACGTGCAGTGCAGGCACATGCATGCACTCAACGTGCAGTGCAGGCACATGCATGCACTCAACGTGCAGTGCAGGCACATGCATGCACTCAACGTGCAGTGCAGGCACATGCATGCACTCAACGTGCAGTGCAGGCACATGCATGCACTCAACGTGCAGTGCAGGCACATGCATGCACTCAACGTGCAGTGCAGGCACATGCATGCACTCAACGTGCAGTGCAGGCACATGCATGCACTCAACGTGCAGTGCAGGCACATGCATGCACTCAACGTGCAGTGCAGGCACATGCATGCACTCAACGTGCAGTGCAGGCACATGCATGCACTCAACGTGCAGTGCAGGCACATGCATGCACTCAACGTGCAGTGCAGGCACATGCATGCACTCAGCGTGCAGTGCAGGCACATGCATGCACTCAGCGTGCAGTGCAGGCACATGCATGCACTCAGCGTGCAGTGCAGGCACATGCATGCACTCAGCGTGCAGTGCAGGCACATGCATGCACTCAGCGTGCAGTGCAGGCACATGCATGCACTCAGCGTGCAGTGCAGGCACATGCATGCACTCAGCGTGCAGTGCAGGCACATGCATGCACTCAACGTGCAGTGCAGGCACATGCATGCACTCAACGTGCAGTGCAGGCACATGCATGCACTCAACGTGCAGTGCAGGCACATGCATGCACTCAACGTGCAGTGCAGGCACATGCATGCACTCAACGTGCAGTGCAGGCACATGCATGCACTCAACGTGCAGTGCAGGCACATGCATGCACTCAACGTGCAGTGCAGGCACATGCATGCACTCAACGTGCAGTGCAGGCACATGCATGCACTCAACGTGCAGTGCAGGCACATGCATGCACTCAACGTGCAGTGCAGGCACATGCATGCACTCAACGTGCAGTGCAGGCACATGCATGCACTCAACGTGCAGTGCAGGCACATGCATGCACTCAACGTGCAGTGCAGGCACATGCATGCACTCAACGTGCAGTGCAGGCACATGCATGCACTCAACGTGCAGTGCAGGCACATGCATGCACTCAACGTGCAGTGCAGGCACATGCATGCACTCAACGTGCAGTGCAGGCACATGCATGCACTGCAAATCTGCCGTGTGTCTCACCTTTGCGACACCAAAGCCGGCAATGGCCATGATGAGCGCTCCTGGGAACTGGAACAATGCTCCTGAGAGCAGCCCGCCAGTGATGCCCTTTTGCAGGATGCCGATGGAGAATGACATCTGCGTGCTGGATGGGCCCGGTACCGCCTGGGTTAGGGCCAAGAGCTCTGCAAACACGTCTTCTGACATCCATCTGAGAGGGGAGACAAGAGGGGACGTGGGAAGGGGGGAGAAAAAGAGGGCAGAGGGGCAAAAAAAACAGCCAGCAGTTAGGATGTGGAACCACCGGCGTCCGCAGTGGTTAGGAGCGAGCAGCGGCCCGCCCGTGATGCCCTTTTGGAGGATGCCGATGGAGAATGACATCTGTGTGCTGGATGGGCCGGGTACCGCTAGGGTTAAGGCCAGGAGCTCTGCAAAGACGTCCTCTGACGTCCAGCTGAGGGTGGGAAGAGTGGCGAAGGGGAGGGACAGGGGTCCGGCGGCGGGAATGAGGGGTGTTTGCAGTGGTTAGGGGAGAGGCGCAGCCCGCCAGTCAGTGATGCCCTTCTGAAGGATGCCGATGGAGAATGACATCTGCGTGCTGGATGGACCCGAAACTGCCTGGGTGAGCTCGAGAAGCTCAGCGAACACGTCCTCTGACATCCAGCTGGGAAGGGAGAAGAGAGGCGAAGGATGGACGGGGGTACAGATGGTTATTTAGGCGGCTCTGAAGGCCATCTGTCCTGGAGAATGATATCTGTGTGCTGGATGGGCCCGGCACTGCCAGGGTGAGCTCAAGAAGCTCCACGAAAACGTCTTCTGTTCTGACATGCACCTAAACCCGCACTCCACTCATCAATCACACTCCAACCAAGGACCCCCCCTACTCACCCGCATAGCTCCACGAACTGCTGGTGGTACATGGCGATGTGGGCGGCCGGGCAAGGAGACCTTCACACCACCCTCTATCAATCCAATCCATTTTACCCCCCCACCCCCGCAGCTCCACTCACCCCCGGAGCTCCACTCACCCCCGCAGCGCCACTCACCCGCGCAGCTCCACGAACTGCTGGTGGTACATGGCGATGTGGGCGGACGGGCCGCCGAACGCCGTCCATCCGAGCAGGAAGAACGCCTGGAAGACCGCCCAGTAGCTGCCACGTGGCACCTGGCCATTGGGAGGTCAACGAGGCAAACCCATGCGAGTAAAAGCCGTGGGAGGGTAAAATAAGCACTTTTGAGATTTATCAAAAGTGACTCAGAAGTAGCCAAACCAGTTATCAACACGGGGGCAGAGAGAACGAGTAGAAGAGATGAGACGAGGGGAGAAGGACGAGGGGAAAATGAATTTTGAGTCGACTTCAAACTCAAGAGTCGACTCAAAAGGAGGGAAAGTGGCGAAACCAGTGATCAAAACGGGAGCACATAGAGTCGCTTTTGAGAATTCTCAAAAGCGCTCAAGATGGGGGCACATAGGGCGAGTAGAAAAGAATAGAGGAGGGAAGAGGGACGAGGAGGAAGGGGAAAACAGTGTCGTGTGCCACTGTAACGAGGTGACTTTTGAGTCGACTCGAAAGTCACCTAGGGACGAGGAGGAAGGGGAAAACAGGGATCTACTTTCGGATCTCAGAATTTGAGTTGCTTGTGTGAATTCTCCAAAAGGAAGTCAACCTAGGTGGTGAGAAAGTGGAGGAGGAGGGAAGGGGAGCGGAAGGGAAGAGGACGGTAGAGCTGAGGGGAGTTGGAGAATAGGGGGGAACGGGACGGGAGGAAAGGGATGGTAGAGCTGGGGGGAGGAGGGGCGGGGGAGGGGAGGGAGGAGGTGGGGGAGTGGGGAAAGCACGAAGCGGATAATGGAGAAGGAGAGGTTTACCAGGGGAGGGTCTTACCAGGGGAGGGTCTTCAACAACGACTTGAGGCAAAGCAGGCACGCCTGCTGCTGCTGCTGGCACAAGCGCCGTGCTGGAACCCTCGTCGTCCCCATCCCCTCCCTCCCGGTTCTCCCCCTCGCCATCCGAGGCAGTGGCGGCACCAGCATCGCCAGCACCGGCAGCAGCGCCAGCACCAACAGTGGCGGCAGCAGCAGTGCCAGCAGCAGCAGCAGTGCCAGCAGCAGCAGTGGCTGCGGCAGCAGGGTCTTCGGGAGTGGTCTTGGTCTGCAAGGCGAAAGAGTCGAAGGAGAGTGAAAGGGAGGATTGAAGAGAGTGCGCAGCGAATCAAACAACGGCGAAGCGAATCACGGTGCGTAAGAGAGAAGGTTCCTTCCACAGGCATGAAAACCCGTTCCGAGTTTTCAGGCGCCTCAACACTCGTCTCTCATTTCAAAAAGGTCTCACGGGATACGAGTTTCGATATGCCTCTATCTCAAGAAGGTCTCTGCGCCGCCCTCACCTTGCCGAGCAGCCCAGGAAACAGTCGCTCCGCCTTTCGCCGCCACGCAGCGAGCAGCCCAGGCTTCGCAGCATCGTTACCATCACCGCCACTCCCATTCTCCTTCGCAGCACCAGCACCAGCAGCAGCACCACCACCACCACCACCAGCAGCAGCACCAGCAACACCAGCAGCACCAGCGCTGCCAGAATCTTCTTTCTCAGTGGCAATCCCATTCGTGCCGTTGCCATTACGGATTTCCCCGTTCGCCCGTTCCTTCTCTCCCTGCTCGTCCTTCTCCCCTTCCGCAGCAGCACCCGTCGTACTCTCCCCCCCACCCTTCTCCTCCCTGTCATTGTCGCCCTCCTCGCTGCTGTGATCCGATATGTCATGCAGCACAGGCACGCTCGCTGCCGCCTTCTCCTGCGCCGCTTTCTCCGGCGATGACGTGGCCGGCGCGGCTGACGTGGCGGGCGTGGCTGACGTGGACGACGCGACACCTGGCGCAGGTTGGTCGGCGGCACCAAGCGTTGACTCCGTTGAACGTGCCGCACCGAGGGCGTCACCCTGTGGTTTCACAGCAGCACACGCAACGGAAACGAAGACAAATTGACACTCACACAAACACACACACAAACACACACACACACACACACGCACACACGCACACACACACACACACACACACACACACACACACACACACAATCTAAAGCGGACTCATCTAGGGCTGGTCAGGGAACTTCAAAAGAGCTCGTCAAAAAAGCCGGGGATCGGCTCTTGAGGGTTCAAAAAGCAGATAACTCGCTCGCCGTGACTGGACGCTTCCCGAGTCAGCACATACACTGCTTCACGTAGCACTGCCAGTACTACAACACATTTCTCTTATCAGTGATAAAGCTCTTCTCCGACAATACAGGGAAACGGTGGTGGGGCGGTTGTATGCTCCCAACCCAAATACAACACTACAAGGTCCCTTGTAGTGTTGTATTTGAGATCCGCCTTGAGGACTCCGCGGAGATCTAGGACGACGGTCTACATGAGACTTTCAGCTCAGGGCCAAGAGGTAGTACTGATGCTCGTCGTCTACTATATGAGCGGCGGTCTCTCATAAAGCGCTAGCATAATGGGAAGCCGCCGCGGCGGCGGCTCTATAACTGGGTGGACTCAAAAAGTCAGCTCATAGAGCTCATAATGGGAAGCCTGATGCGCTCACCTCGGAAGCCGGCGATCCGGCCATAATGGCGAGGGGCTCCGCGAGACAGCAAAAAGCGGAGATTATGGAGAATGCGTTTATTACTGCTGAGAAGGACGCGGCACAGGCGCGCGAGCCTGGGAGAAAATGGGTCGAACTTTATTAACACTCAGACGTGGAATAATCTATTGACGACACAAGAGGATGTCGCGCAGTAGCTGCTTGGTTTCCTCAGGAGTACGGATGTGTTCGACTTTCCTCAGCTGAGGCTGTGCTTGTTCTCAGATACCTAGAAAGTATCTCTCGGCAGAATAGCAGAGAGAGAGAACCCGTTTCGAAACAGGTGCGTAACTATTTAGGACTACAATGCTCTCCCTGAGTGCTTTCAACGGACTCGTTCGAGCGTCGCGACCTCACGGACAGATATATGTCGAATATTCATTGCATATGCAGTGAACCAAGACCACACTAGCGACAAAACCGACGAGTCGCGACTCGCAAACACCCTCGCCACGTCGCCCTTGGTTGTCTCACGCGCAAATGCTGCTGCTTTAGCTGCAACTGTGCTTGCAGAGCAAGCAAGAGCCTCGAGGCGAATGAATGATATGATTCAGCTGCCATGATGGTTGCTCTATGGAGAAAATGAACGAATGAGCTTATGCAACAGTGGAGGAGGATGAGGCGGATGGTATGGTAACCCTGTCTGGAAAAAGCTTCCCCTAGCTAGTACTGCTGTGGAAAAAATATCGGGGAGCGGCTCAGAACCGTACAAAACGTTCTGTAAACGTAACGAATCTTTCTCAACTGTACTAAACGGTCTGACACACCGTGACAGCGGGGATTTGTAAGGCAGGGGGTTTCTGCTGGTGCTTCTTGAATATGATCCCGCGAATGGATCGAGCGAACACGAGACACGACGACAGGAGGCAGGACAGGTCACAGGTGACAGGACACGAGGCACACACGAGAATGTGTGGAACAAGATGCGATGAATCGAGACAGCTGGAATGACGAAGGCGATTCGGTACATTCTGCCCTATGATAAAGCTCGTTTTAGCACTACATAGTGCGGTGAATTCAATAGTGGAATCTGCTTTGCTATGAGATGGCTGTCCAGGCACACACTAATTGACATAGGCACATCATTACTGAAATGAATGTACATAATTTACACCATACATACAATACACGGTTTTGTAATTCGGATAATGACCTAACAGCCATAGCCCCTTGTAGGTGTTACCAAAACAAAACATGTCAAATCAGTTTGGAAGCCGTGGGTCAAGAGGCGCAGTAGTGGGTGAGCGATGACGCACATTCGACAGGTACCGTCGGATGGACCGAAGACATGTTACAGGCTTATTCCACAACCAGATACGCCTTACCTCCTGCTCAGGCTGCTGCTGCTGCTGCTGCCGGCGGTGAATTGAAGAAAAAAAAGCCAGAAAACCAGACCTCCTCCTCCCAGCATCCAAATCTCCACTCCTCTCCACTGCACTCCCTACCACCACCACCCTCCCCCTGCCCCTGCCCCACTCTCTGCCCACCCCCTGAATCTCAATCTGTACGCAGCACTTGGGCAGCTGCGGAAAGCATCCGGGCAGCTGCCGCCTGAAAAATCTGCCCGGAGAAGCCGAGGGAGAAGGGGATGGAGTGCGAAGGCTGGGAAGGCCGATAAGGGAGAGGGAAGTGAGAGAAGTAAGGTGGTCCAGACTGGGTGGGAGAGAGGTGAGTTTGCAGCACCAGGCGATTTTGAGTGAAGAGAGGGTGGAGAGAAGGGAGAGAGAAGGGGGCAGCGAGATGAGAGACCTGCAGCTGCGGATTTCGAGGTATGAGAGTTTGGGCAGCTGCCCGATGTTTTCGGGCAGGGAGCTGAGGGCCGGGCAGGAGAGGAGGTAGAGGGAGTGGAGGGAGAGGACGGAGTGGATATTGGAGGGGAGAGAGGAGAGAGACTTGCAATTTGCAATGTGGAGGTGTTCTAAGGATATGCAGTGGGTGAGAGGTGGAAGTGTGGTGATTCTCGGGCACCCCTGAATCTCAAAGGACTGGAGATGTGACAACTGCCCGACGGACTCGGGCAGCTCAACGAGTTTGCACAGGCAGGCAAGCCTAAGAAGCTTGAGAGCTGTCAGCTGCCCGAAATCTCTGGGCAGCGATGTCAAATTTCCGCATGATGACAGGTCCAATGATTGGAGCGAGGAGAGGTTAGGAAATGAATCAGGTAGGTGGGATAACATTGGGCAGTTTCGAATCTCCAGGTGCTGGAGTGAAGTGAGCTGCCCAAAATCTTCCGGCAGGGATGTGAGAGAATTACACTGGTGTATGTGGAGGGTTTGGAGGGAAGGAGAGAGGAGTGGCAGGGAGGGTGGAAGCTGCTGGAGGCTCCAGCATGAGGAGAGGGTAATGTGTTGAAGTGAGGGTAAATAACCCAACCAGGGAGGTAGAGAGGTGCGTGTGCTACTCAGTTTGAGGTATTTCAACAAGGTTAAGGGGTTGCTGGTATTATCATCTGTGTTGGCATCTGCATTGCTGTTGCTGCTGCTGCTGCTTTCACCACAGCTACCACTGCCGCTGCCACTGCCACTGCTGCCACTGCCACTGCTGCCACTGCCACTGCTGCCGCTGCCACTGCTGCTGCCACTGCCACTGCCACTCCCACTGCTGCTGCTGCTGCCACTGGCGCTTCTGCTGCTAGCAGTGGTGGTTCTTTCACCACTCCTCCTCCTGACCTCCGGATCCAGGGGGAGCCCAGCAAACACGTTGCTGCTGCTGCTGCTGCTTTCACCACCACCACTCCCACTGCTGCCACTCCCACTGCCGCCACTGCCACCACTACCGCTGCCACTGCTGCTGTTGCTGCTGCTGCCGCTGCCGCTACCGCTACCGCTTCCACTGTCACTACCGCTGCCACTGCTACTGCTGCTGCTACTGCCACTGCTGCTGCTGCTCCCACCACCACCCGCACGGCTGGCGATGGTTCTTCCACCCTGAACGCCCCTCCTCGCCTCTGGGTTCTGCGGCAGCCCAGCAAACATATGCCCGTGATCAAACTCCACATCCAGTGACTCGATACAAGACAGGCGCAATAACGAGGACGGCAGCGACGCGATCCTGTCACACCCCGATACAGTCACCTCCCGTAGAGTCACCATTTGGTGGAAGCAGTCCGGGAGAGGCGCGAGGCGGGGGCATTCGGAGACTCTGAGTCGCTGTAACGAGCGGAGCCCGCTGATAGACTCGGGCAGCAGCTGCAGCAGCTGCTTGCATGTGACTAAAACGAGGGACGTCAGTTTGCCCAGGTTTCCCATGCTCGTCGGGAGGGATTCCACCCCGCAGGACTGTATTAGGAGGTCTTTTAAGGAGGTAAGTGCGCCTAGGGTCTCCGGGAGGGAGATTAACTCCGAAGCGCCACGTATGTGTAGGGTCTCGAGAACAGTTAGGCTGGAGAATACCGCGTCGGGTATGCTCCGAAAGTCGCGCTCCGCGTTAATCTCTAATATGCTGAGCTGGCGCAGGCTGCTGAGCGCTTCGGGGAGGGTGGACACGTTGCTGACGTGGAGCCGACGTAAGCAGGTTAAGCGGGGAAGCGTGGGGGAGAGGTAGCTGAGGTGATCGGGGCCTGACACGTGGAGGACATCTAAGGCGGGCGGAGAATTGCTGTAACGCGGAAGCCTGGAGGGCGGAAGGATAGTGGAACGCGGAAGAAGCGCATCAGAACTTCCGCACGAACGACTCCCCTCCGCATAATTGGCGCGCGGAGTGGAATATGCTACTGCGGCGGCATCCGCAACGGCGGAAGCGGCGGTATCGGCGCAAGTACGGGAGGCGGAGCGGAGATGGGTGAGCGCGCGGCAGCGAGAGAGCGCATACAATAGGTCTGCGGAAATCACTGGTAGCGCGGGGGGCTCCGCGGAAGACAACTCGGCGCTCTGCTCTTCCGCCGTGCGGAGTGAAGGCTGTTCCGCCACGCGCAGGGAGCAGATCTGCGGGCAAGCAGCGGCTAATCCGCGGAATAGCGAGTCGGCGAAGTCAACGCAGTCGATGCAGTCAACGGAGTCAACGCAGTCATTGGAGTCAACGGCGTCGATGCAGTCAACGGAGTCAACGACGGCGCCCCGCGGAAGGTCCAGAAACGTGAGGTACGGCAGGCGGGAAACCGCGCGGAGGATCTGCGCGGAAGACATGGCGCGCGGAGCGGAGAAGGCGGGGGAGAGCTTGCGCCAGCGCTTGCAGACCAGCGCCGGAGGAGAAGGAGAATATGCGGCGGGATGGGAAGGAGATGCGGAACTGGGGGGGAAGCGGGCGGAGGACGAGGCGAAGTCAGGGGGGCGATACGCGGAAGAGACTACTTGGGGAGTGGAGTGCGCGTGGAGCAAGCTTTGCGGAAGGCGGAGGGAGGAGCGGAGCGGGGAGGGGCATGGGGGGCGGAGGGAGAGGAGGAGGATATGCGCGAGAAGCTCGTCGGGTAGTCTGTGGATCGGCGGAAGGCAGTCGACGTCTGGCGAGTCCGGAACAGCGCTGGGAAGTAGTAACGGATCTACGTTTAACGAGTGCTTGCTTGGTGAATCCATGCTGGCGCTGCAAGGTAAACGTTACGACGACTGGGACGGAAGCTGGCCAAAGTATCGCAGGACTTTAAAGTCGACTTGAAATTAAAAAAAAAAAAAAAAAAAAAAAAAAAAAAAAAAAAAAAAAAAAAAATGCTTCCGTCCTACGCGACGCGCAGCTCGCTGCCTGCTTGCCCGCTTTCACCGCCATATAGCATACTACCTTCTGCTAGTAGCAATAGCTGTATGCGCCGCGTCGCGCGTCCCAATAGGACGTTACTTCAGGCCCAGGCTAAGGACGTGGCTGGCGACACCACAGGCCTAGGTCATGAATTCCTGATCCTGAGTTGCCGTGAGAGGCCATTCCAGCCAGCTAATCCCATCCCAACCCAGCAAAGGATATGAATCTGCCTTGTGTTTCTGCTGAGGGCCGCTGCTAGGGGAATGGAGAGTCCTGACTCAGGACTCCAGGAGTTCCCTGAACTCCCAGGAGTTTCT